CTCTACATTCATTGTTAATGTTACTGCAACGTTGAAATAATATTAAGTAAATTATATATATCAAGATCTATTTTAATAATTTGTAAAAAAAAGAACAAAATAGAATGTCATGTAAATGGGAAATTTAAATCACTTAAATTGATCTTTAAACAAAACTCATTTCTCTAAATTCTAAATAGTCTAAACGGTACATGTTTACGATCGAATCGGCAAGAATGCCACGCACGTTGCGCGTATCATATTGTTTTGTTTTGACCGATGCACGACGTCGACTCTTTCTACGTATATGTTATAGTTATAGTAGTTATACATCCAATAACATCTAGTGTTGGTGGATGATCAAAGTAACACTAAGTAAATTCCGTACGAATGCATAGGTTTGAAATCATTGGATAGATGACCACTTATTAGGAAAATAAGAAGATTAATTTTCAAATGAAGATAGAGTTATTCTTTTTTTATAGTTTTGTCGAAAATGTTCTGGAATATGATATTAATGAATAACCCTTTTTTTTAACAAAACTGAATTAACTAATATGCAAAAGGTTTTTTTTACGACGAATCAGACACCTCTTCAACATTAAATCTACATTTTGCGATGTTGCTGCAATGTTGGCAATGTTGTAATTCAACATTTCTATATGGTATTGATTTAATATTAGTTTGCTGTATATTAAGGGGAATATATATACATTTATATACATTTTTCTCTTGAAAATTGAAACTTTAAGAAAATACGGAATAAATATTAATTACTTTAAGAAAATTCGGAATAAATATTAATTTTTTTAATACTTAGTTCAAATATTATATTCGCAAATAGACAAAATAACGAAATCTTATAAAGTGGTCACCGAGCTGGCAGGCAGAAAATAATTCTGTAATTCCGGGTGTCCCGAAATTCTTTCACCTACTCGTAGGAAGAGGGTAGACTTATTTGTCTATCTGTTTGGCAGGTACAAAACAGCCGAAACGTCTGAGGTTATTTTCTACCTGCCCTCGCGGTAACTACTTTAAGGCTTCGACAATTTTGCGAAATCATCGTAAAAGTCGAACTGCATGAGTATTCTTGAAATGTGAAAATTTAAGAAAATATAAGATACAGCTATAATTAAAAAATTTACATTTACAGAGCTTACAATATAATTTTAATATTAAAATAATTTTTACGCACTTTAAAAAATGTTGGAATATACAATTTAACATTTAATTTTTGTTTAGATTATTACTTTATATTAAGTCTGTTCGTTACTAAGTTTATGGAAGTTGTATGTTCACTCGTCCTTTACGTTTCTTTTTGCTGTCATGTTTTCCTTATTAGGCTTACTTTCATATTTGCTTGCGAGCTGCGCTCGATAACTGTATTGTGAGAGAATCTTCTCAATCCTATGTAAAATAAAGGACAAGTGTTTTTCAAAACTCTCTATTTGATTGCTCAGAAAGCCTCATCACAACAAAAAGGAAAAAGGGAAAGAGAAAATTTAGTAAATATGCACCAAAAGATGGTAACAGGTACATTGAACGCTTTGTTTGTACTCTTATAGATCTACTCTTATCACTCTTTAACGGTCCTTCTTTAACAATTTTTTGTTCTATCACAGATACGATGATATATATATAAAGTAGTAAAATATTATCCCGATACAAGTAACGGTTTTCTCATATGGAAGTATGTATTAAGAAGAGACGATCCCACTCTTGCATCATGGACTGAAGACGGAAAAAAGATAATAGAATTTCTTGGATTGAAGATGTTATATCCTAATGGATATCTGACTCAATCCAAGAAGTAACGTAAATGAGAGTTTATTTAAGAAACAATTCGTCAGTGACAGTGACGAAGATGACAACGTAACTATTAAAAAATCTAAAAAATCATAGTTAGTTTTTGACACAAATAGTGCACTACTCCCCTGTCTGTCAATTGTATTGCTCTAACGGTCAGTTTTTAATAAAGAATCTACAATTAAGTGAATACTCCTGTATTATTACCGCAGTATTTTTCTACAATAAACACCCATCGCTAATGAAGAACATATGAATGGGAGCTCGGCTAAGAAACGATCTGTCAGTGACAGTAACGAAGAGTACAATATGACAGTAACGAAGAGGACAATATCTTAAAGCTTATAGTTATTGGAAAACACTTATAGGCTGTATGTTTTTTGTTTTGATTTTATTAATAAATTGTTGTATTATTATTGCATACATGAACATCCTGTGTTAACTCATATAGGCATAAAGGTATACTATTAAATTTAATCTATTGAGCCTATCACATTTATTTAAATAACATTAATAGCGTGTTCGAACTTTGTAACGGGTTTCGAATAGATCTGGATTGAATTAAATCTTTCCTGCTGATTGACGTTACATGATCTACCAATAGTGGAGTTTGCAGCATCATTAATCCAAGTCTGGTCGGTTCAAAATCTGCTGTAGTCAAACACACTATAAACTTGCAATATTCCGCACTCATGACATAAAAATACCAGGAATAGCACATTGCGCATAATAACGATAGCAATACTGAAGAGAACCAATCAAATTTTATCCAATCAAATTTTACAATATCAATTTTATTTATATTATATACGCACTTTCCAGCATATAACAGCGCTGGTATATTGGAATAGTCAACCAAATTTTTTCCAAAATTCACTCTCCTATAATGTGCATTTACGAAAATGTTTCACTTTAAACGCAAAATATTCCAAGAATGTTATATAAATATTACTAAAAAATTAAAATAAGTTATAATATTTTTCAAAAATAATGTATAATATATTTTAATATAATGAGTATTTTACTGATACTATATGTCCATATATATATTTTTAATATTTTTTTAATATTCTTAAAATATTGTTAAAATATTTATTAATATTAATTATTTTTATATTAGTGCAATTTCAATTCATAATCTAGTAACGAAACGGTCTTATCAATTTATACTTGTGTACTTAAATAACGTTTCGGTGTGATTTTACTTACATATCAAGTTCTACAACTGCGTGCCAATATTATTTTCATTTTTTTAAACGTTTATTTAAACTAAACCGGTAATCAGTTTTACAAATTAAAGTAAATGTTATTATAATACTACTTAAGTATTAAAGAACGACATCGACTACTAAACACAACTGGAAACAAGGAAAACAAGTTCGAATTACACGCAATTATAAATTAGATAGTGAATATGCACCTAAGGAAGGTAATATTAAACGCAATAAATAGGTAACATTAAACGCAATGTTTGTATTCCTGCAGGTCTATAGTAATCATTTATTGAGGAGAATCTAAAGTGAAACCAAAACTCCATGTTAGACATGTACACAGTGAATTAAAAGTATTAAGACTTCTTAGCTCTTAATGAAGAATAATTAGGGGAATCATTATGTAAAAAAATTCATGTAATTCCATTAAAAAAAAAACAAAAATGACCTTGATATTTCTGAAGCGCCTCCACCTGGATAAAAATTATTATTGTAAATATGCTTATCGATTAATTGATCTTTGATGCGGAGGTTAATAAAAGTCGAAGGATTTCCTAAGAGAATTTTTCTTTTTCGAAGCAAATATCGCCGAAACTATACAAGATACAAAATTTTCCACAATAAAAATTGAATGGCTTTAAAAGTACTTTAGAATAATGAAACATTTTTTTTATTTATAATATTTAATTTTATTCTAACATATTGCGAAGAATATGTAGCGGCATACATACGTATTCCCACTCCTGTATTTCTGCCAAATTGAATCCCTAATTTGGAAATCATAATATAAATATCGGTGACCAGTTTGCTACCAGCTCAGTATAGTGCGATATATACGAACTATAGTAATAATATATATACACGGAAAATCGAGGCCAATACTTCGGGAAGTAATTCGGTAAGCAAAAAGATTATTGACATTAGAATTTTCCTTCAATTATAAAACATATAATTAGTAACTACTTTCGATAATTAATTTAATAAACATTACTTAACGCTAATTCGCCTTCAAACAAATACTCAACTTTACCTCCAAAAAAAACCCAAAAATACTTTATGACGTAAAATATTACTTTTAGAAGATAAAATATAAAAAATTTAAAGATAAAAAATTTTCCAATGGTTTCGCATAATCATAGTGGACAGTGTAGTGCGATAGTGTAGTGCGATATATAATACGAACTAGTAATATATATACACGGAAAATCGAGGGTTACTTCGGGAAGAGATGTATGTGCGATGTTTAATAAGAACAAGTAAAATATATACAGAGTATCCGGAAAATCAAGGAGAATACTCAGCTTTATCTCCAAAAAAACCCAAAAAAATTTTATGACGTAAAATATTACTTCTAGAAGATAAAATATAAAAAAATTTAAAGATAAAAAATTTTCCAATGGTTCCGCATAATCATAGTGGACCAATTCCGTCCAAATCATATGTGGATGTTAGTATACTACCTAGAAGTTTTGAATACAGGTAAAGAAAACAATATCAAATAATTAACAAATGATAACCTTGATGAGCCAACGCAGATATAAATACGCAACATGAAAATATATATCTACAATGTAAGAGAGGAGGAAAAAAGTATATAGGAGCACATAATTTCAATTATTATAACGTTTTTAAAAATAAAATTGCAAAACTTGATTCTTTAATAGAGAGGCTTCGTAGTATCGTAAAACATAAGCCAAAACAAGTTACATGGAAAATATTTCGTTTATAAGAAAATATTTTTGTGTAGAATCTGATAAAGTGCAGATATGTAGCTGCATTACAAATAGGATTATAGGGTGGAAATGAGTTAGCACTTCTAAGTTAGTTTTGATGGGAACGTAGGAGCGAGAGAGAACAGATGTACCGCTATATAACTCAGAAAACAGGTAGAAGTCTAGCGTGTTATTCGTAGGTTTGCAAAGGTACCAGTATCAATGATACAAAAGAGTTGAAATAAAGTGGATTTTGCAAACCAACGAATAACACGTTAGACTTCTTCTCTCCATTTGTTTTTGAGTTATGTAGCGATATACATGCCTGTTCCCACTCCTGTGTTTCTGTCAAAATTAATCCCTAAACTGAAAATCATAATAAATATCGACGACCAGTCTGCCACCAACTCAGTATATAACGTAAACTTACTTGCGCGTTACAAGTTAGAGACAGTTGAACACAGTTGTGTCCGGAAAAATATTTTGCAATGATTCCTAGGAATCATATTGGGCCAATTCCGGGTGTGGATATTGGTACCTTAATATTCCCGGGGGGGAGGGATTTATACAGGGGTTTACTCTGGTATATATACGAAGTTAATTCACGTCGTATACTCCAACATCATAGTAGACCAATATTATTAAAAAATATAATAGGATTCGTGCAATGAAAAATACCAGGGACAAGTGATGAAATTGTTATAAATAGCGGCAACAAATAGGTGTATATTCACTATTTTTCCTCAATTTATAATTGTCTATAATTATAACCGGTTTCAGTAGCCGATGCAACGTACCAATTTTAGTATTTGTGGAACATTATTCTCAGCTAGTTCTAGGTTCATTCTGATTAGTCATTAGCTCTTGCTTTATGAATTGATTTCTTTTATTATCTGCATATCCATAAAAGAGCTTTCTATAAGAACGGATGAGTTTCTTTGTTTTTTTTTTCGGTTTGTCTCCTGCCTGTAACAAATAGAATATTATAATAGCGAATAATAAATATTGTAGCAAATTATCAATAAAAGTGTGTGTGTGTGTGTGTGTGTGTGTGTGTGTGTGCGTGTGTGTGTGGTGGATGGATGGGTGAGTAAGTTCTTGAAGTATGATAAGATTGATAGATAAACTTATGGAAAAGCTGCCACCATCAACAGCTTCATGAATATTTCATGTCGGAACATTCAAGATATTGTACGGTTACAGAGGCATTAATTTGTACTTGCTGCAGAAGGCGGCCGGTTCTGTTTTACCTCTCAGGAAAGTCACTTTTATTCGCTATCATAATGGAAACTGTACTATTACCGAAATATTTCTGCCAAGACATATACATTATATCATTGAGAATTTGTTCATAGGAGATTCCGAATTTAACAATTAGTCCTAAATTTGGTATATTTATATGTAATACTTACTTTAAAAATTAGCTGTAGGATAGTTTTACATTCTTCTGTAAGCTAAAATAATGACAGACTGAATTAAACAAAAATTATATGTTAAATGAAAGGGATACAAAAAAAATGTTTTACCTTCTGTATAAGATTATATAAAGATGTAGTTGGATGCAGAACTATCTTATGTGCATAATAAAATATTTCCGAGACATTCTGAACTGTTTTCACAGAGCACTGGAAAAAGATAGATGATGCTTTTGTCATTTTTTTCATTTACTAGCCAAATGGAATCTTATCTTCATACGACTTTTATCTCCGTGACCTTATCACACTGGAATTACAAAAGTGGAAGTCATTAACAGATGTGCTAAACAAGGGTGCTACTGAAATCTTTATAAGAGATTGCAAACCTCTATGACAGAGTAACTTAGGAGATTAATTTTATCATCTACAGGCACAATTGGATACCAATTGATGGACAAGGAGCTTCTGATTAATGGTAGCTGGCAGTTCTGTTTTGAGTGTCCTTGTCGTCCATGGAATAAACTACGCACATTACATGTTAATTAACTTTCTATTTATTACACTGCTACAAACAACATCAAATCTTTGCTTTAATATACAACAGGTGGAAATATTACTGATGTAACAAATTTTCTGAGAAATTATCTAGACAGCACAAAAATCCCTAAATCGAAACATAGGATGTATTTATTCCTCAAATTTAGGATGACATTCATATAATTGATTCTAATATTTAAAACCATCTTAAGTGTAATCTTAAGATGCCATAAATCACAGATTATAATATGTATAATATTAATATCTTATAACGTTACACAGTCAGTTTTAAAATAAAAACCAATCTTGTATAGACTTGTTTGTGTCGATCATGTTGAGAGGTGTTAATACCTTGAGCGTTATGAAGCAGTAGCACAGTGAAATGGCGAAAAGAGACACATGATCAGGAATATCCTTAATTAATTGACTATATGCATCGGTATCTACACCAGGATGAAATTCGCCGGTATCGCGATTTCCTCGGCCTTACTCGGAACTGTAAGAAAATTATATGGAATAAGGGCAAAGAGCCAGTAACAATAATCAATTCAAATTTAAAGAATAATAATGATCATCATCATGTAAATAAAGTAACAAAGAAGTTTAATATAATAAATAAATAATACATACGTTTCGAACTCCGGTCGGGTCATTCTCAATGTTACAGTTAAAAAATTCAACGGTGATTAAATTACAAAATATATATTATACAAAAAATTAATTAATTAATCAAGTAATATCTAATAATATAGTTGAGTCGTTGTGATTCTGATTTTGCATTCTTTGCTCTATTTACATGATGATCATTATTACAGCTATATTTTTTTAATTTGAATTAATTGTTGTTACTGACTCTTTGCCCTTATTTTCTATATACTTTGTAAGGAAATTATTATGTTACTGCACCATACCGCTGTTATTTCATATAAACCATAATGTGTATCGAAATAAAGATCCGGTAACAAATACTATTTGAGTTCAATATTTTTATTCAACTAATTTTACAATGATTTAGAAGAAACTGACCATTACGAACGACTTTCGAGAAAATTCTAGCGGAGTACGCCACGTGTTTTCCTTACCTTCGCCATACTGGGGTTGGTGGTTAAATATACCGAATTACTCCGAAAAATTATGGTATTACAAAAAAAGAACTGTTAAAAACGCGGTAATTAACCATAATGTTCCGATATTCACCGACTCTGAGATTCATTACTCTGAAATCTCTGAGACTTGCTCCGAAATTCACTCCGAAAATTACTTAAAATTTAACGAGATTCAACTTCGGAAGACGGTGACTGATTGTGAGTCGACTGGTGTAGAAATAGGGGTAGAAAGAAAGATTCTTCGGCGTGTAGGAATATATATATACATCGATCAGTGCTGTCACTCTCTGCTAGTGGAAGAACGCTAGTAACCATATTCATAGGGAGTTTTTGCTTAAATTGTTATTTAGTGTAAAATTGATTTGCGCATGTGCTTATTTTCAATTTTGCACCAATAATTAATTTTATGTAAAAATAAGAGTAAATAGATTTTATATATAAATCATAAGTAACAATCAATCTCTCGGTGAGTAGACTGCATTTTAAAACTCATAAAAAAAATAAGTGTTGCAATATCTTTTAGTTTAGTCCTTGATTGTACAAAAAATGAAGCAACTAATTACATAAAGTCTTTTCTTTCTATGAAATAAAAAAAAAGAATCGAATAAGTTCTTAATTGACTGATTGATTCTCTTATGTATTGTATGCATTGTACAAAAGTATAGACATATATATGCCTTACACTGTATAAGCTCTAATATAGGAGAGTGCGTTTACACGTTGACATTTTATGTAAAAATTAGAACCAAGATAATTAATTAGTGATGACATTAATTAGTATCTTGTCGGTGCTTCTGTTTATTCATACGCGTCAATTAATTCTATCAAAATTGATCATTTCTGCAACTTGAATTCTCTGCAGTGACAGATTCCGGCATTCATTCAACGGTTTAGCGCGATTGAAGCGCATGCGCAAACAATGCGCTGCGCAGCCATTGATGCGAAAGTTTCGTTAGGAATATTCGTGCATTGCATTCAATTTTCTTGGTTGTTTCCCGCGATTTTGTTGATGCATTCTGGACGTAAACTTATGTGATGAAAAATACGTTGATTTCGAGTATTTCTGAAGGATATTAATGCATGTAATTCGCCGAAAGTTGTATTGTTATTCGTCACCAAAGATCTTTGATGTGCTCAGCGGAATTGCTTTGCCGAATTCGCCGGTTTGCGTAGGTTAGTTTGTACGAAAAATGCTTTTCCTAATTTCATCTTGAACATTTATGCGATTAACTGCCAGTCAATTTGTTGTTTTTTATATTAATTATATTAAATTCATATTGAAAATAAAGTTTATGTTAAGACCTGCTAGTTATGAAATTAACGAAGCTAGATATATAAGCGTTTTAATATTTTAAACAATTAAATATTCAGTAATGCATATCATTATGCAATATCATTACGTTATTTAAAAGAATATATATATATATATTATTTCATTGTCAAAAAGTTAATTAAGGTGACTTTTTAAGCCTTAGTACATGTAATTACATTATTTGTGTTGCAATGTATTTCCTTTTTTTAAATATTAAAAAGAACAAGTAATTAGTTATAATATATATATACAAAATTTTTTAAATACATAATCTTAACATTATTTTCTGGATTTGTTAAAATACATAAAAAATTGCTTGACATTATTTTTATATGTTTATAAAAGGTGATATTTTTGTATATTTTAATGTTGTGTCCCATCAGGTGCACTGTCTTGCTAGTCTATTGGGAAACATGTCTTGTTTAAATTATAGCATCTTTTACAAGCATTAGCATTAATATTAATTATATCTTCCAGTATAAAATTATTTGTATTCTGTGTATTTCATGTCTTTGAAATACTGGAAGGACTAAGGTCTGATTGTAAAAATGTTACTCATTCTTTAAATAAAGTTTAAAACTATTATTTTTTTTCTTTGAAGCCAAAAGAGAAAGAGAGATAGGAAGAGTTTTAAGCAGGATTGACAAAATCTTTTTTTTTTTTTTTTTTAAGAATGAAACATGTTTCGTTTTAAACTTGTATTTAATGCTTCAAATATGCTATAAATTATATTATAAAAGAAACATTAAAAACATTGATTAAGCATGTTTTAAACTGTTTAAAACATGTTTTTGTATGGTAATTCTACAATGCTCTTTATTTCCTGTTTCTTACTGTTTACCTCTTGCCCAATCTTGCCTTTTTTGACCAAAAGGCAAGAGACAAACAGTAAGAAACAAGAAATAAAGAGCACATCGTAGAATTACCATTAGCAATTCTGGTTTTAAGCTTTTTTAAAGTTAAAGTAACATTGGTGTACACAACCAAACCTAAGTAATTAATTATAACATTTACATAATGTACAATTTTTAAAATACATAATTCTAAAAATATTTTCTGAACATATTAAAACAAATGTAAAAATTTAATTTTTATATTTTTATAAAGGTGATAAAAATTAATGAGCCATCATATGCAAAAAAGACCTGGAAAACCATTGTGTGGACCAAGTATACGCTAATCTAATGTAATGTAAGTTATCAAATTTACTAATGTTTGTTAATTTAATTAACTGAAAATTGAGAAATACATCATAAAATTTTAATGTGAATTTTTTTAATTCTATCATCTGTATATTTCCAGCTTATCAATAAATATAATTTTAATCTTCTGCTGTCAGAATCAATTTAATTTAGATTTACTTTTGAAATCTTGAAGTTATGCTGACCTTAAGATATTTATTTCAGATTACAACTTCAGAAAATTATTAGACAATGGATAGCAATCCAGGAAAGTTACTTTACACTCCACGACGAGCGCAGAAATGTCTTTTTGCACAATCTAGTGATAATTCTGCCAAGAAGAGCGTTTCTCAAAATCTAGTGCATATTGAAGATGACAAATCCTTGGGAGATGAATCAGACTTGGGACCTATGTCACCTTTAGCTCTCACTGATCGAAGTCCAAGTATCAGTGATCAGAGTTCTTCAGACAAAGAATTTCCACTTGCGACATCTGAAAAGTCGAACGTTCTCAATACGTCTGTGTCTTGGGATCGTTTAAGACTGAACACGGAGGAACGCATGTCACCCTTTAGGTCACTTAGAAAGGTCACTAGAGAGGCTAGATACTCACCAAGATGTAAAACATTCTCTACTAATCGCTGCCCGAAATCATTGCCATCTAGTCCGAAGGAATTGTTGGGTCAGTTAACACCGCAACGCTCAAAGACAAATATGGAACAGATGAACGAAATAGTACCAGAGACACCCCAGCGAAGCTTTGCCACGGAGATACAAAATCAAAGTATCACGGAAACTCCTCGAAAAGGCAGAACCCCCAAGAGCAAGCAAACAACACCTTTGAGTTCTGTAAGCAAGACAGTCCCATTGCCAAAGCTACACAGACGAAAGTCTTGCAGTACCATTGAAACAAGCGTGGGTTTCTCGCCTGAGCAAAAGGAGAACACATTGAAGAGACATGCACGCGATCAGTCGGGATCAAAACCAACAAAACTTTTTAAGGGAGACGATGGTTTCGTGCCTAGAGCGAGAGCATCATTGTTTCAAGAGAGAAAACATGAATATAGCAGCCTAAAGGATTTCTCATTAAATACGAAATCGTTTTACAGCGGCAATGTGAAGTCCGAGCGGCCTTTCAGCGACTACAAGAGTAGCGACATTAAAAGGAGACGAAGTTCACTGTCACAAAGCAGCAGTAGACGTTCGTTGGTAAAGAAGCGAAGATTTGGTAAGATAAATGCTGGCGTGGGCCACGGGATTAAGAAGCCGAAGTCTAAGGTAAATACAGAGACATTAAAGAACTGGGAACAGGATGTTACACAGAGTCTCACAGCTTCAAGTAAGAGTCCACCTGTGGAAGAAGCTCAATCGATGGAGGCGAACACAATTGCCGAAAGGGCTCCGTCGCCAACAATCGACGAGAATAAGCGATTTTTTAAAACTAATAGGACGATCAGATTAAATCAGGCAGCTACGGTAACAGTGAATGATAAAATTAAGTTGAAGGTTGAGGATGGTAAAATTGAATTGAGAGAGAATCAAAATCGTTCATCCACGAATGTACATAAACAAAATCTGAAAACTGTAAACGTCTCTCTGGATACCACTGATCTCACAGTCGACGAACCTGAAGTTGAAGCTACATTACAACAGGACAAAGTTAATGATCTCTTGAAAATTTTGGAGGATGACTGGGCGAACGACGAGTACGATACGATGGCATCATTGACCTATATAGCGAATGCGTTTTCTCCGAAAACCATGACATCAAAAGATACTATTATGTCTCCAGCTACCGAGCTTAGTAACATGACTTCGACGATGAACATTACGGACGCTGCTCCTTTGAATAACTTTGGAAATCTTTCACTTGAGAACGCTAATAACAGTAATATTAATAATAATGAAAATGAAAAACATACCGAAAAAGAAACTGAAGAGGATACCGAAAAAAGATATTTTCCATTATTTACCAAAGGATATTCTGTACCTGATAATATTTTTGAGTATGTTCGTGAGTTATAAATCTTGAATTTTTTATCCCCATAAAATTTTGACTTGCACAGAACTTTTTTGCTCTTTTATTGTATTACTCTTATACTATTATCATGTATTAATTTCTTAATATTTTAATCTCGTTTATGTAATTTATATTTTTCAGTACACGACTGTCTTTTTAAAAAAATATTTTAAGTTATGCAAAGATACTTTCGAAAATTCTTTAAATTTGTTTTAATGAAATACATGTTTTAACTTCTACTTTAGAGAGACAAAGAATGTCGATACCACAAAAGCAACAAAAAAAAATATGCAATGGCAGCTATCCGCGAAAGGTGGTGGTGCAAAAAATCAGTATCAGCTAGATGCTGGTCAGAAACGTTTCGGCGCCATTCAATGTCTAGAATGCGGCATTGTGTATCAAGTGGGTGATCCTGAGGATGAAAACGCTCACTTGAATTATCACAATAGCATACGAATTTTAAAATTCCAAGTACGTTACATTTGTGCTTGCAAAATGAAAACTACATTTCCTTATAGATATCATATTTAAATATTTTTGTTGCACATGATATTTCAGGGTTGGAAGAATGAGCGTATTATATTGGAGGATCCTTTTACCTCCAGCAGAATAATCTTGATCGAGCCACATGACTCCAAGCAACATTGGAAGAAAGTGTTGGAGATTTTGGTTGTTGTAGATAGGGATTTGGGACTGGCAGATATGAACATTTCGGATTATCAAAACAAGAAGGCAAATATATGCTATCTTATACTCATTTTTAATAACGCACAAACGTCGTTTTTATTACACATATTTCTGTTTTACGGATACATTATTTTTATCGCACAGACGCACATTATCGAATTTATTGTAAAAACAATTTTACAAAAATGTATTTCTTGCAGATTTTTTTGTATATACGCGAGAAAAACGTTCTCGGAGTATTGGTGGCAGAACATATTGAAACGGCTTTTCGCATGATTCCTGAGCTAATCGAACTTAATTGTTGTACCGCAGAGAGTACACCTACGAAATGTGGCATAAACGTTGTCTGGACCACGATGAGTCATCGCAAACAGGGTATAGCCACTAAACTCGTCGATACTTTGAGGTAAATTGCATGTTACATGTACATGCCGACTTACTTCCAAAAAAATCGTACATTGTTCGAAATATCTTTTTTTGTTTCAGAGCTAAATTTTTCTATGGTTACGTGATGTCGTTGGACGATATAGCGTTTTCAATACCGACTCCAAGTGGTAAAATCTTCGCCGAGAAGTACACCAGAACGAAAAACTTCAAAGTTTACAACTGAATCTACTTAAGCTCAAACATTCGTTCTTTCTAAATGGTTGCGTCTTTTATTGTGAAACAGCCATACTTAATATATTATACATCTTATTTTATCGATTTTATCTTGATAGTTATGTATTTTTATGAAACTTTTATTTAGATGAGGATATGACTGAAACAGAGTTTCTTTAAGTTTATGAATCGATTTTAATGAACTTGTTTTTTTTTTTATTTAAAGTGTTGCTGCATTTTATTATAGTTTCAAACCTAACGCAATACTTATTTTTATAATAAATTTGATATATCATAAGATATAAATCTTAAATTATAGAATAGATTGGATATTATATAAATTATTTTTTGAAAATATTCAGTTATAATAAAATTATTAATACTGTTCTCGGAATGTGAATATATTTTTAGTGATGCCATTTCTAATTGATGGAATATACATTACGCTCATTTTCGTATTTCTTATGTAGTAAGTGAATAAGATATTTGTTATATATTAAAAATAATTTGTGTTGTGGATTAAAAAATTTGGATTAAATAAAAAGTATGTTCATTAACCAAACTCGAGTATTGTAATTATAAACAATCTTTTGAATAAATATAAAATATATGATGTTTAGAAAGAGAACTTAAATAAAAAACAAGAAATATGCTAATTACTAGCACATTTAATAATAATACTTTGTAGTACAAAATTATATTTCGCCATTATATATATATATATATAATATAACTAAAAAAATGTAGAGTTAAATGTCACTAATTACAGTGTATTTTATTATTCTAATTGTTGCAAGCATATTTTTAATATTAATATATTTTAATAACTATAATAGATTATAATTACATATTAATTTTGACAATTAACAAAAAAAATAAAAAGAAATACTGTTTTGTTTTATGAAATTAATCTTTATGGACTAAAAATAATATCACAATGTGTGTAAAATCTGGTACTGATTATCTTAAACACATGTAATCTAAGTCCTAGCGCATGATTAATTAATCATTTTACATCCTACGAAAGCCGCGTCTACCGCCTCCACTATTTCTGTTGCCTCTTGCGTATGAATCTTCTTGTTCCTTTTTCTTTTTCCATGCATCATATCTTTCAGCCATTTTGTATACTTCCTCAGGTACTTCCTGAAATAAAAATCATAAATTAGACTCCATTTAAAGAAAATTGATAAGAATTAAAATATTCCTTATATATCTATTAACCTGGTTAGCCTCTTCGAGGATATCAATGAGTGCTTTTGCATGGTGCCAGTCATGTCTTGTCATAAAAGTGATACTTTCACCTGTTCGGCCTGCGCGTCCAGTACGACCGACTCGGTGAACGTATTCCTCTATATCCCGTGGGAAGTCATAATTCAGTACATGTCTAAAATAAGGACACAAATATTATATGTATATCATATCTTGAATAATATAACGTATGTATTAGTTAATTAGTGTGTAAAACTTACGTAATGTCTTCAATATCGATTCCTCGACTAGCCACGTCAGTCGCGAGAAGGATCTGAACAGCTCCAGTCTTCAAATCTTCTAACGCTTGTTCTCTATCTACTTGATCTCTATCGCCGTGAATACTCTGACAATCGACATTCATTAATGCCAGATCACTAGAAATATCATCCACCTTTGATTTCTTACCGAAAAATATTATGACCTTGTCGTGAGGTCCCATTTCTTGGAAGAACTGATGCATCTACAATACATTAATGATAATAATAAATTAATATGACATCTTCAAGATAATTTGTAGTTAATTTTGTATAATACATATGTGATATTACTAACCATATCTGTTTTTTCATCTTCATTAATCATGTAAATTCTTTGTGTTACAGAGTGAACAGCTGCTAAGTCAAGTGATCCAACAAACACTTGAATTGGATTTTTCATGTATGACTGGGCTAAACGTCTTACACCCTGAGGCCATGTAGCGCTGAAAAGAATAAGTATTGTATTAATATATCTATTAAATTAATTATAATACTGATATTATATATGAACATTTTTTTAGATGAACTACATTTTAAATTACTCTATAGAGAGGTAATATATAAATTAACATAAATTACTTATTTAAAGAAGTAACATATTTAATAAACTTTACAAATAGAAATAAAGAAAATATAAATTCTAAAAGAGATAAAATTATTATGATTAATAGTTTTATCTTTTCTTTAAAAGAATCTCATTTTAAAAAATAATAAAAATTAAAAAAATGTAATCTATACCTTGTCATGACAGTTTGTCTGTCCGGTCGTACACCTAGAAGAGTCTTACGAATTTGAGGTTCGAAACCCATGTCCAGCATACGATCTGCTTCATCGAGTATAAGATACGTCACAGCCGACACATCTAATACATTTGCTTGAACCAAATCGTTTAATCTTCCAGGGGTTGCAATTACAATTTGCACACCTTTTGTCACAGTGTCTATTTGTGCTTTACGATTTCCGCCACCGTATACGCATACCCTAAATAATTTACAAAAATATATTATAATAAAAATTACTTAAAATATATACAATTAAAATTATTATATTTTAAGTAACGTAAAAATTATGAGTACAAGAGATATAAGTACACATTATTTGGAATAAACTTACGCTTTAATGCCATGGTAAGAGTATTTTCCTACTTCCTTTTCAATCTGCAATGCCAATTCTCTCGTCGGAGCCATAACAAGAACATTTGGCCCAGAACGCTCTTCACGTGGAGTTATTTGCCCATCAATGTGAATCAAGGCAGGCAATAAAAAAGCAAGAGTTTTTCCTGAAATCATAATTATTCTTTTACACACACTCACACAAGTGTATGTAATAGATAAAAACAATCAAACCTGTTCCAGTTTGCGCTATCCCAATGAGATCCTGACCACTTAATAGAATAGGCCATGCCTGACATTGTATAGGACTTGGTTTCTCAAAGTTTTGCTTTCGTATTTCCCTAAGGATATCTGGAAACGCCTGCAAATAAATAAAATAACATGTCAGTAATTGTATTAAAATAATAAATAAATTTGTAAATTCAACTGCTTTATTACATGGAAAGCTTGTTCAAAAGTTTGAACAGGATTTGGTATTTTCATATTTTCATTGGAACCTCCTTCATTCTCAAAAACATGTCTGACTTCTATGTTATTGTTAGTCTTCCTGAAATTAGCTACCACTGACTTCGACATATTAGCAATGGTTGGATCTTCTTTGTAAAAATCTTTTATAATAGGAGGCAAAGCCGCCCATCTCTGTTTTTGACGCTCCTCCTGTAAAAAAAAATTGTTATACTTGTGTACTTACTTATACTATAATTTATCTTTTATTATCACGCCAAACATACATATTCTTCATTAGCCTTGCCCCAATCAAAAGTAGTCCAATCAATTTCTTGTTTTTCAGGCTGAGATGTTGTTTGTTGTGCAGATTCATTTTCATATTTATTACTTCTTTCATTTAAATGTGTATTACCCCTTTCAGTAAATAACTCCTCTATTAAACTCTTAGCTCGTTGTTGCGTATCATCTGTACCGGTTAGTGTCACAGCAGTCTGTCCATTTTCATTATATTGTTTGTCGATCTAGATAAAGATAAATATCAGTTATATTATTAAATATAGGGATATAATAGATTACATTTACAATGCATATTTTATTACATTGTTTAAGATATTTTATTTACTTTAATCATAGCACCACTTTCTTCCTGTAGAGCTTTAATCTTGCTACCACCCCTCCCGATAAGTCTTCCAACATTATTGGAATCAATGTACATAACAAGTCCATTTGTACTGTCTGACATTTCATTATTCTTCCTATATGGAACATTATTATAATTCTGTGTACCTGATCCTGTATACTCATTATTATCTCCAAATGATCTATTAGAGCGTCTATAAAATTGACTGCCTCTTTCCCTTCTATTTTCTCTTTTATGATCATAACTTCGATCATATTTCCTCGACGATGATCTACTATCCCAATTGTCCCAACTGTCACTCATTATCAAAAATAATAGAAGTTTTTGTATTCAAAATTAATACCTGAAATATACAAACAATCATATAGCATATATAATATAACAAAAATGGCAAAAAATATTTGCTAAAATTAAAAAATGTTATTAATATGTTATTTCTATTTATTATTTTTATTCTGTAATTGACACATGTGTTTAGAAAAATAAAATTGACATGAATTTGAAGGAGTAAATGGAATGAAGCAAAGGTTAAAGTTTTCAATTGCCGTTGAAATAAATCAAATTTTATATAGTTACCACATAACTTATGAAATAAAGCTTTTCTTTCTCACATAAGTATTCGAAAAGGAGGAGCATAAATGATACGTTGTATTGTATTGATAAACTATAGATAAATTGTTCCTATATTAAAATTTTCTTATTACAATCATACTAAATGCAATATTATGCTTAATGCAGTATATACATAAATTAATTTTCTCATATTCTACCATTCCTATTAGATAGTAAAGATAAGAAATAATTAAACATTTATAATAATTACTCCATATACATTTATAATAATTGCTCCATATACATTTATAATAATTGCTCCATATACATTTATAATTGCTCCAGATCTACAGATATTCATTAATTCACAAATTAAAGTGAATTTGTCTCTATATATTCACTCAATTCAATTGAATTCATAAGTCTGATTTTGATTCTTGCATTCTATGTGAACTATAATGCACAGGGTACAATAAATTGAATGAAACGTACATTTGTTTCACTTCAACTTACTGCATCGTGTATACCACTGCAGAGAATGCAGAAATGAAATATCTCATATTACCAAATGCATGACGATATAAAAATTGGTTTATTTCAATAAACACTACCAGAAAAAAGTGTTTTGCAATTCAATATTGTTGTGGTGAGGAAATAGATGTCTTGATAAGTTTGATGAGCATCGGTAGCTTTGTAAATCGCCTTAAATTGTCTATCACCAACGTTCCATGTAACTCAAATGTATTTTGTGGTTAGATTCCTGATATGTGAATATCGTGTTACAGCATTCGCTGAGACAGCATTATACTATACTAATTATACTATACTAATCTCGCGACAAATTTTGCGACAAGAATAAACGTAAAAAAACCTATAAAGGAGAGAATAAACAAACAACGGCGGACAATGAGACACGTTCTCCGTGTATGATGTTTGATTTACGCGTCTTTCACTTACACTTGTCTGATTCAATTGACGCTAAAAATATGCAAGAAGAATCAACGTCTCTTGGTGTTGCCGATATCTGTTTCAACACAACCGCACTGCTCTTTGTTCATCTACGATCCCAAACGACTCGACTCGCTAAATCAGTACACACAAAAGTTATAGTGTCATAACCACTGTAGGTACACCATTACCTATCCTGTACCGATACTGTGGCCACATCGAACAAACCACAACAAACCCACGTGACCGGCGCTGTATGGCTATGATTTTCCCGGTAACGCCAGGAATGGCCCACACGGCCAATTAGCTTCCGAAAATAGAACTTGTATGAAAAAAATTATAGTTATATAATTATAAATAGACAGAAGAGAAAAACGAGTGACATTCATAGTTGGTGCTTTTAGTTGTTTCAACGTATTGTTTTCAAAAATTTTTTCCATATTTTCTTTACAAGTATGTGTGTGCGTGTGCGCGCGTAGCGTGCAATGTTTTGATAAATAAATGCCAAAGTATATACACCCAGAATATGAAATTTAATCTTTAAAGGTAATATACTGCTGATTAATTGTCCAACTATAGTATTGATTTGAACATTTCATTCACGATTAACTATATATACGGTCGATTTTCTCCGATTTCAGAATTTTTTAATTTTTAGCCTTTCCATATTCATGGAGATTTCCCTATACTCCCTCGCTTTAACGCCAATAGCTCATGCGCGTGATAATATACACTTCCTTAAACAATATACATAAAGCGATGTTTATGAGATTTTAAAGACGTAAAATTTAAATTTTAAGCTTTTTTAAACCGTAAAAAATTGACTAATCATAGTCGATTGTTTTCCACACATTCGACTAGGATTGGTCAATTTCTTACAACTAAATCTTATTATTATAATAGATGCCGCTTTTAAATAGAGAAGAAACGTTTTATTATCACATTGCGATCTATCTCTAATAATAGCAGAGGATTGCTTTGAAATGAGATGAAAATTACAAAAGTGAGCAGATTTATTAGAATATTTATTTATAATTCAATATTGTTTAACACTTATAGTAAATTTGCTCATGTTTGCAATTTCCAAAAATCGAGATACACAATCAACTTCTGATCTATATGATTTCGCAAAAAAATGACACCTTTTCCTTCAATCGATCAAAGACAGCTAGGTTTTTGTAATGAACCGACGATCAATATTAATGCTGTTTCTGTTCATCGCGGTTTACTCGCTCAATCCTTTCGCTGGTTGTAGGAAGATACTTTTCATTCGATTAACTGTTTCGCCGCGCTCAGCAAAGTTTCGCGGTAAAACACATTCGTTAGTATATATTCCCGTTTTGATGCACACGTTGTGGCTTGAAGTTAGGCGCGTTTTAATTCTGCCTCGAATATGCCTCTTTTGTTCTAAATCTAAATAGTAATTAATTTTTTTGTATACATCTCATTTATGTTAATTCTCAGATAAGTAACTCAGATGATATAATATAATGTGACATTTCCTTTCGCTGCCTCAGATTGTTTAAAAACTTACTCTTGATTTTTCTGATTAACTGTATTTATCTCTGTTAAATTTATAGTTTTGGATTTTTTGTATAAATACACAATAATTTGCGATTGTTTCATTGTTACAACCGAAAACTAAATCGTTAATTATAATTACAAAATATATAAAATTGTAACATCGAGAACTTTTATACACTCAGCTTTATCTTATTTTTATAAAATTTATTTATTATTATCACAATTAAGTTTTTTGTTTTTGCATTAATAAAAAGTATTATCACTTTCCGTTATACTTTATTTTTAATCTATTCCGTGTCAAATTTTATAATAAAATTTTGTTCGTATTTTAAATATACATACTTTTTGATGTATTTGGATATTTTAATAGGTATATATTTTATAGTAAATGTTTTAATTTTGTTTTATGTACAAAAATTATACAGTTATTAAATAGAAATTTTTGAATTTCTTCAAATATAATTAAAAAGACGAAGCTGCTGTACTCATCGATTACGTAATAAATCATCCTAAAGTCAGACTGATGTAACATCTTGATTGTAAAATATTACAGCAATTATGATTATTTTGTAATTTTTTAATTCTTTCTGCTTTTTATTTCAGAGTCTCTCGATCAGTATTTACAACTCCTGAAAGTCTTCTGTATACTCATTTTTCCCCCCCCCCCCTCCGATTCAAGGATCGGTTGACCAGAAGCCAGACCGACTACTTATTGTAATATCGCATGATTGCAAATATACAGTAATTACGACTACTTTGTAATTTCATTAACTTTCTCTGCTTTTTATTTCAGATTCGATCGGTATCTATACAGCTGAGCGCCTTCTCTGTACACTCTCTTTCAAAAGAAATCTTATGAAGAATCTTTTCCTGATTCAAGGATCAGTTCCTTCCGTTCCGGGTTCTTCGTTCATTTCCGCGGGACTGTAAGACGCAGGGGTTCAGGAATTACGCTTAGATAACTCCGATGTGCACATTTACTACAGTACACGTAACGTAAGCTATAGTCCGGAGTTACCTAGGCGTAATTCCTGAGCGCACCCCAGCGTTGGCCAGCGTTGGCCAGTATGCGGAACGTGTGTAGGACACACGAGGCTGGCGATACCTAACGCTGCGCAGAATCGTATCGGCTATGGTGTAACATGAGTTAGACGAGCCGTATTTAATTGTGCACCAGTGTGAAAAGGGACCTTGGAAAGAATGCCGTCGATATCACGCACGGTCTCGCCCTCGATAATCGTTCTCTTAATATTTCAGTGTTATTCGGGTGAGTAACCGATCCGCGACGATCCGCGGGAATCGCTCTCGTTCGAACGTGTGCTTGTGTTGTGTAAACTCGTATCTGGATTCGAAAGCACTTGCGATCGTGGAGATTGCGACAGGAGATTGAATAACGACAGAGTAATATCCTCCAGGGAGACGCAATGTAGACTTTTTGATCCCTCTAAAATAATTCTCGTTAAATTCTTATCCGACGTCTGTTAACATTATATTATCTATATCCACTCTCTCGGTTTCGATCTCGGAAGTTATTTATAACTTCTTCTGATTTTTGGCAAACATTTCTACACGCATGTTATTTTGCATCGCAGTATATAGTTCGAGAAGTTGTAATTCTAAGAATAGTTCGGGTAAAATTGTACGAGCGACGAGCTAATATTATTTTAGAAATCTCTCGCTTCTGTATGAAGGACATTTTGAGTGATGACTTTTAGTTGGTTTTAAGCCTCAATGATATACATATATATTATTGGATTTATTGTTAACAAATATTCCGACTTGAAATTGTATGTCCGTATATAATTAAATTATCGAAAAATGTTTCGCAGGAGTTCGTGGTTCTTCGATAAAGTCTTTGGATGTGCCGATGGCTGTGCGCAATGGTACCGGACCGGTGGATTTGATCTGTGCCTACCAGATCAACGAAAACGAAAACGGACTTGTAATCAAATGGTTTCACGAAGCGTATCAAATCTATCAGTGGATACCGCCAAGTAATTTACACTCTTGCCACCCACGCGATCCCGTTATAACTTACACGTCGGCTCCGCGGTATCTGCGCGCTATTATTAAATTTACCTATCGGCGACTGCGTTACGTAGAAACTGTCGCGAGGCATCGCGAAGCGTATTGAAACAACGCGCGGATTACCCGTGGAAAAGAGAAATGTCGTAGCTCGAAGTTATTATAGTATAGCGACCTTATAACGAGAAAGAAAATGAAAATGCATAGCCGCGAAATAAAACACGTAATACTTTTGTTCGCTTGCGTCAGAAGGCGTAAAAGATATTTGATTTTTAATTAAGCAATTTGTTATTATTTGTACTAATTAAACTTTGTGTTTTTTGAGACGGGATTTCTTTACGTGTGATATACTCGTGGCTGAATTTATAGTTATTAATTATTAAGTCATTAAGTATGAAATGTCCGTTTTTCGTATTATTATTAATACAAAATGTTTATACGTTTTTAAAAATAATTATACTATTTGATAAAGCAAATTTTTTTTCATCTTTAAAAATGTTTTTTGATTATATTTATAGTCATGATTCAAAGAAATTCAAAAAAGTCATAGCGGTCTTTTAAAAATATAAATTTTAGGCTTTAATACTTTTTTTTAATTTAAATTTCGCTTGTTTTTAACGAAGTTACGGCTGCTATTAATAGTAATACGAAAATCGGACATTTCATATTTAATGATCTAATAAAATTTCTTAATATTTATATATTTAATCCTAGAATCACAAAAATGTATAGTCAAATTTATGATAGTTATAATAATATTATAAGGTTTTATTTCGATAAGATTGGTACTGAGACAATTTGTTACAAAAACCTTATTGATAACACGATTAAAAGAAGCAAAATTGCAAAATAATTAAAAATAATTAATTTTATAATAATTTAAATAATGAATTTCGACGTTTTTTTTTTTACAAATACGCAATATAATGAAGAAAGGATCGATATTTACATCATTATATTAATATCTTCTAAATTTTGAAAAAAAAAAAAAAGAAATTGGTAAATTTATTTTATCCAAAATTTCGCTATAGATAATTATAGTGATTATAAATAAATCCGACTTGGTATAGGTCTCTTCCTTAAAAGTATTATCCCCCATTAAAAGATAGATTTGTTTAATACTATATTATTATTCTCGATTGTTCAATATTTAAGTTCGACATATCATCCTAACTAATGTATTTTATATCAGTACCGCCACAAGATATTGGAATCATCGAAGGACTCGCGGAGTATCCAGCTGAAAACCTAAAAGATCCATATTCACGTTCGGTAATACGATTGAAGACCGTTACGATAAACATGACAGGAGAATATACGTGTACGATTAGTACATTCCAGGATGAAGCGAGCAATTCGACGAAGATGATTGTTTATGGCAAGTTTTCGAGAGTTTGAAATTTAGCATATATATGTTTCTTTTTAATTGACTGATCACACTGTTTAACTGACCGATTATCTTTTTTTGTTTTTTAGTGCCGGAAAGCAACATGACGGTGCTCACTTATCCTTTTAATAAGACTCACGTGAATTTAACGTGTGTGGTGATGGGTGCGTTACCACGACCGTCTCTGAAGCTTTACGTCGAAGGGGTCGAAAGCAGCAGTTGTGAAAGCGATCGGGGACCCTTAACGGACTGGTACAAGGATAATCCTCGAACATCATTGGACATCATCATCGAGAATACGTTGGATCCCGCTGTCATCGAGTGCGAAATGTCGATCCCCGAAACGGAGTATAAGCGTCGAGAACGGATCGTCTACTATCCTAGTTCGAATCGTTCCAATGTAACAGACAATGCAACTTAACACAATTGTTTTTGCCGTTATTTAACTCGTTGTGTCAAATTATTTTCTAAAGAGTGAGGCGAAATAATATAGAGACCTACGTTTTGATAGATCTCACCGATAGAATACTTTTTTACGTAATAAACTGTAAATTATATACATATACTACATTAATATTAAATTAAATTAATGTATAGACTTGACAAAATTTACGGCAATCTTGCCGAGAATCAGACACACACACAAGGTAGTGTTTAAACATGCCTAAACACTCTCGAACTTTTAAGCAAGCCTTTTTTTTAAGTCATCAAGTAGATGAGATGTTTATTAAATGTATATATTCTTTTCGTATGTTTCAGCGCAATTACTACCCTATCGCACAAATGTTTCACAAGGGAGGCACTACGCGATGTTGCTTGTCGATATCCTTTGTATTGCCATTCTTAGATTAATATGGTAGGATTAAAATAGACTGATTTAATCGCAAATTGTACTCCAGGGAAATAAACAGATATTTAATGTAATTTAATTTTGGACCTCGAGCCATAAACTATAGTTTTGAAAAAAAAAAGAAATAAAAGCACTTTATATCTTAAATTGATCATCTATTTAACCTACTTTTTTATTTTCCCAAAAACAGATAAATATGTGTCACTCGAATTTAAATTCGTTGATTTTCCGATGATTTAATATTTGTGATTTGACCTTTTGCGTGTAGCAGTCATAGCTATATCGAAATGACAAGGTGGGTGCGTGCATTGGGGGTGGGAGAGGTAATCTTGGATAGTGGGGATGATATCTAGAAGTAGCGGCACCCCTTAAGATTATCATTCGCTTTCCGGCACTCACCTATAAAGGGTAAGTAACCATCCACAGAGTAAATCTGTCTTTCAATAATTCGTACCGGTTTGTAATAGTATCTTAAATTGTTCACACATACACACGCACACACATACACACACACTATAAATTCGAATGTAATCTTATAATTATTAAAATATTATTTTTTATTTTCACGTTTATAACATTATATTTCTGATTTTTGATTAAAAGATATGGTGTGTCTTAATTGTATATTGTAAAACGAAAATTTGTTAAAATTTTTTTAATCGTGTAGTAACTGATATTTTGCACGATACAAATTCACTTTGTTGAAGACATGCTAATATTTTAATTAAACAGGGCGTAATTAAAATTAAATATGCGTTGATAGAGATTACTCGCGAATATTTTAGAACATTATTAATGTGAGATATTTTTTTCGTTTCAGTGAGATTTTATTAATAGTTATAGTTATTTAAAAAATTTTTTTACATTTGTTATACTAATTAATATATTTTCATTGTTTATAATACAGTGTTCGTATCGGCAACTGAAGTCATCAGACTTATCATCGTGTCGAATTTATCATCTCGCTCTTAATCGCCAATACTTCATAAAAAATGAATTACCCCTGGATGCTACTTTTGTTCGCAGGTAATATAATCTTTTTTTATTACATTTGTGTTTTAACCCTTGATTTTTTATGTAATATTTTTTTAACATAATTTTAAAAGACATTTAACATTTATTTGGCAGATATAGTGCACACCATACTGATTAAAATTAGTGAGTAAAAATAATTAGTGAACATAGACCGCGCGAGTCGTTTCTGAGATATGTAAATAATTTTGTACATTAGTGTTATAATAACTGACTTATAGAAGGTAATTTAACATAATATTCATCCAATATAATAGCTAATTGATACCAACTTACTGACTCTTGATGAAATTTTTCATTATAAACTGTGTATGAAAATTGAATGAGATTTAAGATGCTGTTGATAAATATCGTGATAAATCTTCGTCTCATGTGACACGTAGAAGCGAATAAGTCAGTTATGCTACTAATATATAATTAAAATTGTTTATATCTCAGAAATAGTTGGACTTTCTACCTCTTTCATTAAGATTCATTAAGGTTTTTACTCAATATATGATGTGTATTATCTGGTACTATCAATATTATATAAATGCTGATTTATTTTGTATATCTTGTATATAAAAGCACGATACTTGGAGAAAGGTGTCATAATATATAGAAAAAGTGTGATAATATATATCGCAATTCTAGCGACATTTCTCGTTAATCTTAACAGAAATCTATACTGCACAATTATTTTTAAATAGAATTCCAGCTGCAATTTTATATTATATATAATAAAGGATTTCGAGGGATCTATTTTTAATTGATTGCGTACTATAATAACAACGTGGCACTCTCACTCGCCCCCTTTCATAGAATTTCTTAGTTTTTTCAATTTTGATTTTTTAGTATAAAAATAATATGCGGAGTTCTTTTTTATTTATAAAGAACTGTAAAATTATGAAAGATGCTGTTGGAACTGTCATTTTTTTCATATTAATAGAATGTCGTGCTAATTACACGAATATCTAAAAAAGAGATCTATAAAATATTAGTGCGCGATGTTCTATCAATATAAAAAAAATTCTATAGTAGCATTTTTCATAGATCTACAATTTCTTACAATATAAAAAAAGAGTTCCGCATTTTTTATATTCAATTAAAATATGATGTATTAAATTCGCAAATCTAAGTTACAATCTAAGTTACTTCCTCTCTAAAACAAGGAAAAGACAAATATTTCCACTTTTAGTTTCAGATACGATTAGCATTATTATATTCAATTCCTTTTCATGATAAATTATATTTAGATTGTATTTATTTATAATACATATTTTTTTACTTTGTTTATATTTAATTATATAAAAAGATTTAAAAAAAGGAGAGAGAGAAAATTTATAAATTTTTTGCATTATATATATATATACTACTTGTGTGCCGTTTTTAATATACAACATCATATAATACCACATATAAGTATACTTTTTTCCTCCCAATAAAGTTAATTATAAAGATATTTCAAAAAGAAGCTAAGTGGAATTAATAATTACGGTATCTACAGCTTCTTTTGTGTTTATGGGATAATCGGATCGACCGGCCTAGCAATGAGAGAGACAGAGAGAGAGAGAGAGAGAGAGAGAGAGAGAGAGAAAGACACGAAAAGTGATATCACAGGATTTCACGTTGATCTCTCAAGAACAGTAGGCTTTTGCAGTTTGCTAAAAATAGTTTTTTAATCGTTCAGTATGCCTTTAATTTACGATATTTTGAACATAATTCGAAATTAATTTGTTTAATGGCAAACAAATGCGACAAGAATTATGTCTCATCAATTACTTGAAAACACCAATGAATACACAATATTAAAAAAAATTAAAAAATATTGTGCTGATTGGGATATTAAAATAAGATGTTATATACTGCAAATATACAAAGTAATATTAAAATCAAATTACATATTTTGAGAGAAAAACTGATTTATTAAATAACTAACAACTATAAGCAACGAAAAGTAAAATATGTTTATATTTTGTAATTGGAATGCGATATTTTGGAGTTAAATATAATAAAATATATATAAAGTAATATATATAATATGATATCCAAAAAAATGTATTTTTTTAATTTAATTGTATTTAAGCTTTTACTCTGCCCGCAAGATATAGATACCATATTTTTCTAAATATACTAACATTTTTTTAGAAAAGTAAAAATGGTAGTAATAAATAAAAAATAATGAGATTTTTTAAATTATAATTTTGTATCACATTTTTCAACATATATCAATATATTACTGGTTTCTTTTATTTATAATGGAGTTAACACAAAAGACTTGCTAAATTAAAAAATGGTTTACTAAAATATAGGCTGATAATAACGATCCAAAATAAGTATTCCAATGTTAAAGAAAGTTCCGTAAAGATATGCATTGGTTTGCATAATATGACGTAAGTTGTAATTACTTGATTGACATTCATTACTGGACATCGATGGCTTTGCCGTCACATCCATAAATGCATTGCGTTGCAGCAATATATACTTGGACTTATTATAAACTTCTTTTCTAAGCTTCATAAATTTCTCTCATCTATTCGACGTGCGATAAAAATTGTATTCTACTTAATGATCATTTACAATCTACATTATACGTTTTTTTAAAATTATTTTTAATTACTTTATTGAGAAAAAATTCGGAAACATCCGTAATTTTTTATTGTTTTTTAACGTTATTCTTTTTTTATATGTAACATCAAGTTATTTTTTCATTTTTTTGTCACATAACATTTTAACATTTATTGTAATTATGAAAATAAGTACTTAATGATGCAATTTATATATGAATTTTTATAACTCTTTAGGTCTTCAATAATTTTATCTGTTTTTGCAGTGTGTGCTTTGTGGAGCTTCGGCGAGACCGTCCCTTGTGATCAGTGCGGACGGGAGTGTGCCGACATATGCGGCACGCGGCAGTTTCGCGCTTGTTGCTTCAACAATATGCGGAAGAGACATTCCGACTTCTTTGGCCTGAAATTTTGGATGAGACCGCGAAGATATGCGCTTCACTTTTACCCTGACTACGACGCTTAATCATCGCGCTATATACACCCTATACAATTATGGAAGATCCCACGATATAAAGCTAGTTGCCATGTTAAGTTATGTGTTATCCACGCACATTGTTTAATTAAAGTCGCATAATGTAGCTTTTATTTTTCCCACAACTTCTCTCCCTTCTCTTCCTTTCGATAACACGCTTGTTGATGCTAAATAATTAAAATTAAAGATATTATCCAGCAGCAAAATATTTGAATATGATTCTTTGTATATAATACAAAAATCTCTTTCGCCTGATTTTATATATAGGATTTTATTTATGAACAATTCTCTCGATTAGTTAACTTCAATGACGGGATCTATAGAAGAGGAATCAAACGACAATATGCATATTAATAATATACGCACGTATATAAAATAAAAAATATCTTTGTTTTGAAAAAATATAAAATTTCTTTTGAATTTGTACATTGTTTTGTCAAGCCGTGCTTATATCACAAATATTATTACAATATTAATACATATACATAATAACAACTTTAACAGCTTTATGTTATATACTATTATATAGAAATTTCTTGAATTTAAAAAAATTATCGATAATAATAATGTGTAACGGAAGCTTATCAGGTAACTGAAAAGTAATAAATTATTCAACTGAAAACTATGTTATAGTAGTCTTAAATGTAATGAACGTTGCATTAAATTTAATGTAATGCGTGTCAAAGTAAGGCTTTATCTTGACTTCTATACACTTCTGATGGGATGAAGAAAATCCATAGAGACAACGAGCTCCAGATAATTGGAAATTAAAACTTTCCATACAGGACAACTTGCACAAATTTTATTGTTGCCAAGTTGACTCCAGTGTACAAAAGATCTGGAAAGGAATCATACAATAAACAATTATTTGATTATAAATATATAATTTGATTATAAGCATATAAGACCAAACAAGTATGATCAATCTTCTATTATACAATGCCAATATTGAAAATCTGATGTATATGTAATACTGTACGTAAGTTTTCAACACTTGTAGTATATATTGAAACACATATATTATAATTAAACTATTCTATTGCAATTAAAATTATGCACAGCTTGACAATTTTCATGATGCAAATAATAAAAGAGTAGTTATTATTCTACAATTAAATCTATTATAATATACATACACAATTTTTTTTTTAATATCATTTTCTATAACATTGTTTCTGTTTTCTTTGATTTCTTGATTTTTTAAAGCACTTTCCTTGATGAGCATCCATGCCGCGATTACGTTTTATTGCTGTGAGTCCATCATTTGGTGGAAGATTGCTGCTGCTACTATTCGCAAAAGTCTGTCGATTCACTATTTCTGTACAATAAAAATAAGTGGTACGTATTAATTCATAAAAGAAAAAGTTTATCATGTATATACATAGATACGACGTACATAATGTACACACACACACACACACACGCACACGCACGTGCAAGCATACATATGTATACACATAAAATAGAAAAAAGATAATAATAGCGCTCTAATCGGCACATACCTCCAATATCGTCCGCGTCATTATTTGATAAAGAATTATTTTTCATGTTATTGTTCAAAGTAACCTTGGTATTTTGTATTAATCTTGAATCATTTGTCTCTGAGTCATCAATCTCTTCATCCGGTACTAAGTTATTATATTCTTTGGAAATGATTTTTTCAATTAATTGTTGCCCAGTAGATGAATTGCTGTAAAATATAACATTTGTCCTATAAAGTTAACTACAATATTAATAACGCAATCGATGGTTATTGAACAAGCTTAGCTGAACACCACATATAATTTCCAAAAGTTTATCTAAGCTGAATATACCACAAGGGTTTATTATTTAAATGTGTGAATATAAAAAATATTGCTTCTCGATATATGATGTTTATAATCATTTCTTTTAAATTAAATAAATATTAAATATTTTACAAACGCATATTGAAATATAGATAAAAAATTATTAGCAATATTAAAATTGTTAAAATTCATCAAATATATTTTTTGGAAACGAATATAATGAATTTACTTTAATATAAAACTAAAATATTTTTACAGATCAGTTATATGTCGTTATCGTCGATTAAATGAGAATGAGTGATGAGTGTTGAGTATCATCTCGTAATATATAATATAAGCATTATGGGTAGTAGTGCTGATAGTAATTTGAAAAGACGTGCAATAAATAACAAAGTTCTAGTCATTATAAAATACTTCTAAGTAAATAGATACTTCTAAATATATAAATTCTAATCATTATAAATCGTTAGGGACATGAACGGATCAATGGCATAAGTGGCTTCAGGCCTAGGATGATTCAAGTAAGATTTCACCCATGGTCTGACCCACGTATGTGTTTTTCACATCTGGAGATTACCACTCTATCTAGTTTCTGATTACCGGTATTCAGCTAAAAAGTTTAAAATGACATAGAACTATATATTATCAGCATTCAACTAAAGAATTTGAAATAACGTAGAAGTATGTTTACCAGTTTCAAATATGTAAAGTCATTTCAAACTTACTGGAACAAATCCCTGTCTTCCCAGTCCATACATAGCCACGATTTTAAGTCATATGGTAAGCTTTGATCATTTGGAAGCCAGGATCTTGCACCCACATATTGAAACTGTGATGCACATTGATACAGCTCATGGTACCAGAAGCAACATTTCGAAATTATATCTCTTGCATGGAACCTAAAAATATAACATAACATTGTCTTTGTTTATGGGAATCAGAATAATATGAATTTTAATAAATCATTTATAAGAACATTACCAAATTCTGCATACAGTGGCTAATGCTACTAAAGCAACACTCCATGCATGACCCAACCTCAGCCTAGCTATAAAGTGATGCGAGGCAATCCTTGACATAACTTCTATCCTGGTCATGAGCTTCCCAAAGCCTTGCGTTCTCACAAGTACATACTCCAAATTTTGTCTACTAGGTAAACTGTATATTTGGTCTTTCAATTGAGTAAGAGATTTCAAAGTCACATAATCATTCTTCAGACACATTCTGTAACAGTTGTTCAACGCTTTACCCAATTTGGCCATGGACATGAAGCCTTTATCGTTTCGAAATTTGTTCTTCATTCGATAAATCAAGCGGCTTAGGACTGCAACATTTCTATGTAAGTCATCCATTGATTCCAAATCATAGATCACTGCATTCAATGTCTTTTCAAATCGAGATACATCAACACCTAAAAATGAAAATAGTTATCTACAGATAGAGATTTTTGTAATCACTTTAAAATTATTGTTACAAACTTATAATGCGAAAATAGAATATGCTTGGCAAGAAAATACACTCTATCGAGCATCGCATCATCAAACAGAAAAAAATTTAGGATATACACGTATTCGACGCATTTTTATTTGAAAATGTAAACGAGATAAAAATATATATACCAGTCTTTTTAGCATCTAGTGGTTTAATTTGCCATGTTGTATACGGCGGTCGCTCCAAAATAGCCTGATTCCAAAGTGACATCATTTTCACTAAATAAAATGAGAAATTATACAGAATAAACTTAAAATAATCACATTAAGAATCAATAAAATAAGGCTTATTCAATGCGTTTTTGCATGAAATGAATTTTATATATTACTCCTTCCACGACGCCGATCACTTGATAAACAGAAAGATCACGTGGACTACGTAGACGGAAAAACACCAGACGTACCCAGACGTTATGAAAGTGTGAAAAGGGTTGGTTTACAATAGGAGCATAGATGTGATTAATTAGTTTCCTACTTCCGACTTTTGATTCTCATAAACCAAGTTTCCACACAATAGGAGAGTTTGTTTTTTTTTTTTGTTATATAGCTAAAACAATGTTTTATCGTATGATGATGCTTGTTGTATCTAGAAAACAAGTTCTCTTATTGGATATCGTATCGTCATACGTCGGAAAGCAACTAATGTATTTATAAAAGAAAAGTAATACATAATCATTCACACTTACTCCTATTCGATTCTATTATATGTTCACACACTAGTTTATTCACACAAGATGTATGTAAGTATGATGTTAACGGCGGAACTAATCAGCAATTGTTATAGCATTGCCTAGGCCTAGACTCTTGATATAGGAACTTTACAAAACTCTCCTTATGTATAAATACCGTATGTACCTTTGCGCACAGAAACCACGCACGCACGTACGTGCGCACGCACGCACGCGCGCGCGCACTTGTCAAATGAACGGAATTTTGTTTTAGTGACAAAGAGCATTAGTTGTTAATGTTGTTACAGAAATATATTATTAGAACTTGCAGTAAATTAATATACTTATAATTATTACTTATTATTTATCTAAGATATAACTAGACCGTTAAAGACATTATTTTCTATTGACTGCGTTTTCGCTTTTTACGGTCTTATATGAGATTTAATAGCTAATATTGGATATTTTTTGTATTTTGTTAAAGTATTTTAAGAATATATATTCTCAGTTCAAATATTATATTTGTGCAAAACTGATACAAGGCTTCAAAGCGGTCACAATAGACAGGTAGAAAATAATTCTATAATTCCGAGCGTCTTGAAAACCTTCCCCCTGTTCGCACAAAAGGGCTAGATTTGTTTGTCTACCTGTTAAACGGGTCAAAATAGCCGGTGATTATTTTCTACCTGCCTGCATGATAATTGCTTTAAGGTCTTTGTCAATTTTGCGAATAAATATTGTCATAATATATAAACTGCAAGAATATTCTTGAAATGTGAAACTTGAAGAAAATACAAAAAAGAATCGATTTAAACGGAATAAATGTATTCATAACATATATATTTAATAACGTATATTTAAAAAAAATATTTTATTCTACATAGATTTTTCATGTGCCTCAGCGATTTTACTACACATAATGTAACAATGTATTACGGCTTCTCCCGCGCGTTCCCTTTAATTTTATTATACGGAATCTCTCGTACCTTTGTACCACATCAACCATGTAATTCGTCTTACGTTTTGTAGCGCTAAAAGGGATCCAATAATTCGAAATGCGGATATAAGATACAATTATAATTTATAAATTTACATTTACAAGAGGCTTATAATATATAATTTTAATATTAAAATAAATCTCACGCATATTAAAAAGAAAAAAGAGAAAGAAAGAAAATGCTGAATTTCGAGCCAGTTACAATGTACAATGATTAACGCTGTTGATTACTTAACAAGTTTTGAAACGCATTAGATATTTTATTTTAAAAATCGATTGTACAATCTTAAGATCTCATGTACAGAAAGTGAATCAGGTAGGCTGGCAAGAAGCTTATCGCATGAATTCTTCTTGGCAGTCTCTCTATAAAAGAAGGTGGCTGCTCGTTAATTCGAATAATTATCGTGATATCGTGTAGACAGTAACGATATAGTTGCGATAAGTGCCCCGTAATTATAATTACAAGATGTGTTCCTGTACGTAAATTTAAAGTTACCCTATATTATTTTACTTAAACTAGAATACAAACTAGAGCTTCCACATCATAGATAAGGAAATAAGTCGAATCAATAATAATAATGAGACCTACAACAATAAATTACGTAAATGAATAAATATGTATCAAAATATACGAATATGAAACAGGTTCATCCATATTGTAATAAAAAGATTTTTTTGTTGGACAAAAAATACAACTTTGGCTCTTCGTGCACGCCAGATGAAAGAAATGCTGTCAGGTATGTGCATAGCATATCGATCAAGATGAAGTTAAGTCAAGCATCGTGTTGGTGTCTTCTAACGCTGGCAATGGTAACTCATTCTTCTCCTCTTCGATCCTAGCATCCGACATCTTTAGGAACTTGATTACCTTCTCGGTAGCGGCGATTCCGCAACTACTCACTTCGTTCTGAAACAAATGCACGTGACGAAAGTGTGTGTTACTACTATTTTTTTCCACATCAAATGGGATATTCTTCGAACGGATGCTTACCGATGCCGTCAGATTCATGAAGTTGAAGAACTTTTGAAGTACAGATACCATAGTGGCGAAATTCTTGTCTGGTAGTCTATTTCGTACTAGCGACTCGTATTCCTATACAATAGAAAAAGTTTAATAAAAAAAAAGAACTGTGCTTATTCCTTGGATGTAAATTATTAAACACGTAACAATAGATTAATATTTTTCACTTATATAGTCGCCTTTAATTTTTACCTTGTTATCCATTATTAAGTATCCAAGTAACAGTACCACATATGCTCCAATTAATGTGTGCTCCATATGTCGTCCAGCTTTCTGTAACACTGTAAAGTAATAACCTTGCGGATGTGTTATAATAAAAAATCAAAAGTAAATCTGGGCATTCTCATAAAATATACAGATTAATTTTAAAAACATAAGCTACTGAATTTTTTCTTCAAAAAAATTTTAAAAATTTCTGTTACTTATTTCTAATGTTAAATATCTCGATATAAATAACAATTTAATTTTTTGATAGAAATTATAGTAAATAATACTTAATTTTCTTCAACGCGATTTCTTGAAAAAATGTACTTTCTCGAAAAATGTTAAAAATTAATTTGTTCAAGCAGCAACTATTCTTATGCATTATTATTATTAATAAATTTTAAGCAAAATTAGATATAAAAATAGATACGTATACATGCACATAGAAATAAACACAGTACAAACATTTTGTAACAGTCTCTTCGATAAATTCTTCCTGAGATTTAGAAGTGCTCGATACTCTTTCCGTTTGCTCAGAATCTTTCTTTCCGTCTAAAATTGCATCTGTTTTCTGTTCCTCAGCCCGCGCAAGTTCCTCTTGCTTGTAAAATAAATCAATCAGGGACGCTACTCCGCTTTCCTCCGCTGAAATTATGCAATTATAAAAACAAAGGTCATGTAATCCCACAATTTACTACATTAAAGAAGGGTAAAAATTAATTATATCTACCATCAAAAATATTTTCTAATGACGGAGGTGACTTTGAGTCAATAAGGAGTTGCTTGTTGTCGTCACACTGCTCTACTAAATTTATCAACAGAATTAATGCCAACATCATCATATCAAATCGCTTTTCTTCCGGGAGTGATTCAGGCACACGTAATAAAAGAAACAAACTACAATCCAAAACGCCAACTTGTGAACCAACTGATTTGCTGCCGAAAGCTGTATAAAAAATACATATTTTTTTAGAATAAATAAGTATGAATGCACTAATAATATCAAAAGGAAATCTTACATTGTCTATTAAACCGATGAGTAAGATTGATGAGAACTTTAATAATAGCAAAAAGACATTCTCTAACAACAGCACCAGTGGAACTTTTATCGCTTGGATCTGTTGTTGGATAAATAGGAATCTCCTGCCCACATAAGTGATATAAATTAGCTAACGTGCTTACTAATACTCCATTCTCGTATTTTAATAAATACGCTTGATTCTCTTCGTTCATATGAGTTACCTGAAGAAAAAATATCGCAATGTTTAACCATTCTTCATTACCTATTCTTTTTTATAATATAGTATGCAATACAAGGAGAGGGGAGGAACAAAAGAAAAAAGAAGCACTTACATTTTCTAAGACACGTAAACATCTGTCAACTTTACGTAATTTATCTAATAAAGGATCTGTCCAACCAGATCTTAAAACATTCTGGCTGTTAATATGACGGTGACATTCTCGAATTGTTTTTACAATATGTTCCAAACCACCTAATCCTCGTAACTCTTCTTTAAACCATTCTCCAGCGCGCTTTGACGTAAGACTCAACAGTGTCTCCATAGCGAGCTGACCAACCTGTTAAAAACGGCGTATTACAAATATTATTCGGAAATAAAAATAAACCTACATAAATATAAACGCATATACAGGAATGAATATAAATGTGGAGAATGCATATTGAAAATTACTTACGGTGATATTATCTAAATTTAGATGCTTAGCATGTCCTTGAGCTTGTATATCAGCACATAACTGACGTACTTTTTCTTTATTTTTTAGTAATTCAGCATGACTAAGACCACAATCATCAAGAGCATCCTTATGGCTAGCATCAGATTCTAATAGACTCAACATTAACTCCAAACAATCGCGATCAAGATCCATAGCAAGACGATCTTGACTTAACACAAACATTACTGTAGCTGTGCACAGACCAAGACTCTATAAATGGTAATAATAATATCATCAATATACAATTACATGTATACTAAAAAAAGTCAATTTAATAAGGAAAACTTTAAATGTAACATGAATGGATGTATAGAAATGAATAGAATTTTGTCATGTGCAAGCATTTATACCTGATCTTTAGTTGCATCATGAAGAGCTTTAAAAAACTTGGCAACAGTTCCATGAGCGCGCACGTGCATTCGAAATGCAGGAGCCATACATTTACTTGCTAATCGTATGGCCGAAAGGCAACGAGTAGCATTTGGATTATTTTCTCTTAATGTATCCAAGATATACTCCACATCGTCATTAAACTCTTGGAATTCTCCACTTTCTTGTATCTGATGAGCTTTCTTTACATTCTTCACTACAGTATAAAACTGTAAGGCAAAATAAAGGCTAAATAAATATATAATAAATCAAAATAAATTGCATGTATAACATGATTACAATGCATTTTTACATTTATTATAATTTGATGTCTTATATAACTCGAAATGAGAATAATCTTACTTACGAATTTGTAACAAAAAAAATTTGTGAGTCTTTTATCAACAAAAATTATGTATTATAATATAGATCTTTCACGGAAACAATCAATATTCCACAATATAATAATTAATTGTCTACTCACTCCTTTAACTTTTTTGCCACAGCGTACGCTTGTGACTGCATCAGCTTCGTCCTCGAAATCTACATCGGCTGTAGGATAAGTGACGACCCTCGTCAACTGCGAAGGTTCAAACTCTTCTTCGTATGCCACTGGTCCAGCGCTGCTGGACCCAGATGCGGTGGTCGGCGTGCTGTTGCCAGTGTTAGGCGTGTCCGGAGCAATGGATTCCTTATCACTGTCGCACCATTTGTGCTTGTACAACGCTCGCCTCTTGTTCCCATTTGTCGCGCCCGTCGAACGGCTCTTGAAGATACTGCCTTTCTTAGCGGCAGGCTTGGTCGACGAAACACTTGTCGACGGTGGATCCGTAGTTTGCAATTCCGAAACTGTACTCGTCACGTGCAGTGGGATTTCACTCTCGGCATTTCCACCAGCGCCTTCACTATCACTGCTTGAAGACCAATCCTGATCTACCAGAGCTTTAGCTGCGATTTCGACGGTGGCGATGGTGTCGTTTGTTCCACGGGTCAGTAGTTCGGGCTCCGATTCAAGTTCTGGTTCTGGTTCAGGCTGGAATTGTTGTGCTATCATGACGGGTTCGGCCACAGCTTCATTGGCCGGGATATCTATAGAGCAATGTTGCTCAATTTGATTTGCAATACTTTCTGATGTTGTGTCTTCTGTTGTATTTTCCATATTATCATTGTCATTGTCATTGTCATCCGTACTGGCGACCAATGTTGGTGGTGCTGCTGGTGATGATGGTAATGATGGTGGTGATGGTGATGGTGGTGATGGCGACGGTGCTGGTGGTGGTTGTGGTTGTGGTTGTGATTGTGATTGTAGTCTCATGTCGGAATCGCTCGATAATATATCGATCAGCTCTTGAGTTGTAGTCGGCAGTGGCTGATCGCGTCCGATCAACGGTTCGATCGTCGGTTTCGAGGAATACATTGAGCTGCAGTCAGTCTTAACGATATCATAATGAGAGATAAGTGTATTATTGGAATCCGTCACCGATTTTCTCAGCGTCAAGGAGAGGCCTGAACCATGTGAGTTGGAAGTGATTGGTGTCGTCGACGGCGCCACGATGGAAGTTATCGCCGTTGGGTCCAAGTTCAGATTCTTAGCGCGACTGCGTGTGGTCCGTCGCATGTCCGAATTATCCAACGGGATCGACACGGTGGAGATAACGGGTTGATGCGTACGTAAGGATTTATGATGATCGGACTTGAGCGATGTTTCCGTATTGAAAGTCTTACGTTCGACGTCCACCTTCGAGGGACTAGCGAGGGGAGTAGAAATCCTATAGGTATCAGGTTCGAGATCCTGAGTGTCCTGATGCACGTCTCCACAAACCAATCGCGCCGTACCTTTGCATATTCTCAGTACGATCGGCGGTTTACTCTCCTCCCTGATGGGAGGAGTGTCGGGCGTACTGGTACTATCTAAACTTTCTACTACTTTCTTAATTGAAGCATGTGACACTTTTGTTACAACCTGCTGCTGCTGCTGCTGCTGCTGCTGTTGTTGCTGCTGCTGCTGCTGCGGGGGTTGCTTCGGGGCGCGACTCCTTCCATATTGCGAATCAGGTACTTGTCTGTAGATTGCCACATCCTGGCGAGATTCTTCCATCACAGGCGGGACATTTCGACTCTTGAAGAATTTCTTCGGCTTAACGACCGGAGACTCCGATTTGTTGTCCGGGTCAGTTTCGAAGGAAAATGGATCCTTTCCAGGATTCACGCGATTCTGATTACCATAATCGAGTTTCATCTTCTTTGCGCCAAAGGTATTATGTATATCATCTCTCCTCCCTAAAAATGGAACAATTCTGTAATGCTGAACATAATGTTTTACGGAAATATGTTACACGTTGATGAAGACTGAAGATTATTAAGTAATTTTAAATATGTCCTCAAGATTGATATTACTTCTAGATAAAGAAACGTTTCGATTAATAGAAAGGTATTTTATATGTATAATTATCTATTCATTTATATATTACACGACAAAACATCTATGCATAAATGCTGCATAAAGTAATATAATTTCGTAGTAGAATTCATATTGTGATATTGTGCTTATGTAATATCTTCTATTCAATTTTCAAATGCCAAATTCTATTGAACAGAACACTATATGATATCACCGCAGTTAAATATTGACATTATATCATTGGCGTAAAATCAGTTGATTGTGCCAGCTTCTAAAAATAAATCTTGTCGATTTAAATCACTTTTATACAAATAGATTATAGTTATTATTTTTAGTGTTAAAACATTGGTTCTTTAACATTTACAACTGTGGAAAAAACACAATTCCTGTTGTTTATTTTTATTTAATGTAGATTAATATTTTCGATTTAATTTACTTTTTACCTTGTCCTGTTCTCCTTATAACTAGAAAAAAACTAAAGAGGAAATTAAACCAACATTAAAGTTAATCTGTATTAGTAGAAATGGGCACAAAATTATTATGTTTATCATCATTATGCATTAGCGAATATATTTTAATTTTCAATAAATATTCATGTTAAATAAGTACATGATAAGAAAGTATCTGTTATTATGTTGATAAATATTTATAAATGATATTTATATATGAAACTTTCTGATATGATGTTCCTTTATACATTATGAGAAAAAATTTAATTTCAATAAGATGAAAATATTCAAGGACTCTTAGTATAACAATAATTAATATAAATCAGAAAGGGCGATGTAAGAGTCAAAAGATAAAATTTCATTTAAAAATAATACTATAATGTCAATACGTTTAATTTTAAATTTGAAAAGTAATAAAATATAAATATAAAACTATAAGTATAAAAAAATATATAAATATAAAAATTACTTAAAATTAAATACATGATGATCGTAACAAGTTTCGGCTCTAGGTTTGAGCCCTCCTCAGACATTAAAAAACAGCGGACAAAATTAATTTTAAGTAATTTTTATATTTATATTTTTTTATACTTATAGTTTTATATTTATATTTTATAACTTTTCAAATTTAAAATTAAATGTGTTGACATTATAGTATTATTTTTAAATGAAATTTTATCTTTTGACTCTTACATCACCCTTTCTGATTTATATTAATTATTTTAATTTCAATATCATCATTGTTTTAGGATACAAAAAATATATGTATAATAAGTTTATGAATGTATTCCTCTCTTTCCATCATAAACAGACAGATTTATTTCAATGTTCAAGGCATATTTCTACCAATGTATATTAACTTTAATTTTGGTTCAACTTACTGTTAATTCCTTTTTAATTTCTAGAACTAAAAAAAGATGAACAGTTAGATAAATCAAGATTAAAATTAAAACAATAATTAAGTGAGTATAAGTGGCTTAGAATATGTATAAATAATATAAAGATACATAAAAGAGCATATATCTATACCACACGCTGGATTCTGATAGCAAAGAATCATATATTTTCATAAATTTATTTGTAACAATGCATTTTTATTATATAGATATTTCGACAATACATTTGGCCATTCTCATTAAAATTAAACTACATTGGTAGAGACGGGTATAATTCTTAGAACCAGAAAGAGAAGAAGTTAGTTGAACCAAGATTAAAATTAAACTGCATCAGTATAAACAGGCATACAAAATTCAATGTATAAAGTCAGCCAGTAGCATGGCCAACGTATAATGCCAGAATTTTATTGTTTACAAAATACATTCTCTCCATCATAACAGCCATCGATTGCCATCGTAGAAGCGACTTTCAAAAGCGCTATTGTAACCAGTAATCATCACGTTACATCTAATGTAAACACCGAGCGATAAAGTATATGTTTTTACCATTGATATTCGTGCTCCTGATGGAGGTAAACGATGTTATGCCCCATTTGCCCACGGTGCCCGCGGACTTGGCTGCGGACGGCCGGTTGCTGTTCTCGCGGAAGAGCTTGTCGAACTGAATGCTGGCAGGCGATACACTGCTGACCTTGCGACTGTAAGACTTGGTGTAACTGCGGGACGTCATTGTGCGCGCGTCTCGTGGGTCCTCTTCGGCATCGCAGGACGATACGGGCGATAATGACGCAATCTATCCTCGTGCCCGTCGGTGACGAGCGGCTGCGTGCCGCGCGCGCTCACGACGTGGGTGCCGCGGCCTCCGGAGCATCCGAAAACGCGACCGCTTCCTGTCCACCGTATCGTATCGACGGCGGCCGAAATCCGGAGCGATTCAGCTGCGGCGGATGGCGGTGGCCCGCGGCGGTGTGATAACGTGCACCGAAACAAACGCCATATTATGAGCTGCTCTGACGCGCACGAGACGGAGACGGGGAGCCTCTCTCATTCGCTCTCCCTCTCGTTCGCTTTGTTTGCACACGTTTACTCGCTCCCTCGGCCGCCCGCTCGCTTGTTTGCTCGTTCGCGCGCGACGCCGAGATGATAAATTCGATTAGCGATCGGAACGATCCCGGTCGGGTACCGTGCCGCACGACCGCGATACTCCACTATACTTCTCTCGGCACTTACTGTTAATGCCTCTACTGGCTGTCCTCGTCGTACTCGGTCGTCGCTATCGTTGTTTCTCCGCTCTTTCTCCACCACTTGGCTACTATTAATTTCTGAGACTCGTACGGATTATTAATCATCAACATAGATCTCGAGCCATCTGCCGATTTTTTCGTTTCGGAGTTTAGATCACGTATATAGCGGTGTATACATATATATGTATATTACTCCGAGGGAGAGGGAGAGTCCAGATATTTGCCACCTCTACCACCAGTAGATAGAGTTTTAAAGTCACTAGATTACTTGAAATTCCCTAAAATGTTTGAATATTTGGCAGGATATAGGCATGTATTTAAAATATTTTATTTGAAAAATGAGATTTGTAAGACAATTACATCTTGTATTTTGTATTTTAGAGGCACACATAAAAATGTTTTGTATTTTATATTTAACAGAAGTACACGTAAAAATATTATATGTATTTCAAATATTAAGATTGTTAATTTTCATATTTAAATGATAAAATACATGAAACTTTTATTTTTAAATAGAGAGAATACGTAATACTTTCATGTGCACTACTAAAATACGAAATATAAAATACACTCTTTTATTGTAAAAACTGCACATGTGTTTTAAATAAAAGATATTTCAAATACCAGCCTTTGAGAATTGAAAAGGGGGGAAGTAAAGATTCTGATTGCAAAAAAAATTTCTTAAATAAAACAATTTTTAAATGGTTTTGAGTCAAGAATATTGACACCCATGAGATATCAGAGAAAAACCTAAATATTCCGGTCTTCTTGTACCAAATCTCGTAATGTTTACGTTTCTGTGGTAATTGCAGAGCGTTGTCATTATCGACTAGTCATAAATTTGCGATTTTAATATATATTTCGAGGCTATATAATTATCATTATTAAAGTCATGACTTTTTATTATATAAACGCTCCATAAATAAGTATGCATACTTTTAATTTATCGAATCTATTACATTGAGCCGATAAATCAGATTGTTACTATACCAACGGATTAATGCTAAGCACAGTATTGCCGTAACGCATTTATGAGACGTAAAGCATCACCCAAGTTTTGACGTATGACGTTGGAATTAATGGACATCGCTATGGCTCTTGATAGCGTGTTATACCACGTACTGTATAAGCAAAAGTAAGTAATCTAATCGGTTGTAAGTAAGTAAAAAATAATCTTGTTGTTTTGAAAGTCTTAATATGTTACGACAATTCTGTACTCAGAACGCATGTTTATCACATACGTCTGTTATATCTGTGAGTTGATTGTCGATGCCACTGTTGAAGTCAGCTGTCAAACGTGCGGAATGTCAAAAAGATCGATCAACGACCCGACGGTCCCGACGACGGATGTTAGTTGAGAGATAGACCACGCGAAGTGAAATTTTTCTCCTAACTTGTGTCATAAACGTTATCAACGTTTATGTTGACTTCAGCGTTCATTCTCATCCAAGCTGCTTCTTAAATATATAGGGCGTATAGGCGTGTAATAATCTATGAATTTAGGCGTATTCAACAGAGTTAATCTCAAGGTGATTATATTTGACAGATTGTATCCTCTGTTTATATCTACTTTCACCTATTTAGATGAAATTCCACGTAACCTTAATTATCTTCTCTTTAGTATTTTTAGTGTTCATTGCCTAAGAAAAATTCCATGTTTCTACATGTTTTTAGGATTCCCAAGGAGGGATGTATTCAGAATGGGCCTCATTGAGCACTCTGATCCAACAAGGCTCGGAGGAAAGCCAGAGCGTATTGGAGAAATTCCCTCCTGGTGCAGGCAAGGAGGTCGCACTTTCCATAGTTCGCCAACTCGCCGCAAACTTGGGCATCACCCAGGCAGGAGAGCCTAGTCCGCTCTCCACCGACAGAGAGGTTCAATGGTGCATGGAGGTGATATGTTTTGGTTTATCGTTGCCACTGGCTGAGCACGACACGGTCAGGGATTGTGTTAACATATACTGCGAGTGGCTGTCAGCTCTATACTCAACACCAAAAATCTCCGTACCCAGACCAATTGTAGATGACCCAAACTTCTATGCCAGAAAGATCATAAGTCATTTTCACAATCTGTTTGTTCCTAGGAAAGGAGAAGGTAAGATTTGGTTTTCCTTAATGTTAAATTTATTCTGTTTAATCCTTTCGATAAAGTTCATTTTCTTTCCCAAAGTCTGGCCTTTTCTGTATCAGGATCTAGGTAATCTATGATATATATATTAATTTCTCTGAAGATATTTGTATCAATTTGCAAGATGAATATTTATACCAATATCTGTAACACATCATCTTTCAATAAATGTTTCTAGGTACAGACACTATAAATCGGCAAGCTGTCCTGTGTCATCGAGTACTTAGAACTTTGCAGCAAATTGCAAGAGGTCCTGCAACTCTGGAGAGAGAAACATGGGAGAGCTTACTATTATTTCTCATCGGTATTAATGACGCACTATTAGCACCACCAGCAACTAGAGAAGATGCAGGAGAACAGTTATGTGAGAGAGTGCTTGGTGTATTGCTAGAGGTACGGAAATATTCTAGTTAATTAAGGATGTATCAGGTATGCAGTCTCTGCAAAAAATGGGATAAAAATCAGATTTATATTTTTCAATTATAATACATATAAAAATATTTAAAAAAATGTTATGTACACATGAAGCAATTCATACAACAAGGTCAAAACTTATATTTAATAATTTTATGGTTTAAATACATTTTTTTAATTTCATTAATCTTAAAACATATTATTTATTGAAATAATGTAGAAAAATCCTTAATTTTTTTTAAATTTTGTTAAAAAATATATTTAATATATCTGTAATAATATTCACACTCGTGAAACAAAAATGATAAGAATCTTACCAGATTGTACATGTGAGAACACATTATAAAACGAAGTCTTTTTCAGGTCTGGCTGGTCTCTTGTGAACGCAGTTTTCCTTCACCTCCGTTATGGCGAACGTTACGAGAATCTTGCCTGCGATGGCGTCACAGATTGGCTTTAGTAGAGCAATGGAACCGCGTGTGTCTCGCTCTTACAGCGAGACTGCTGCATATTATGTACGGGCCAATGTTTCCCGAATTAAAAATAAGTATGTGCCTTTAATATATGCATTAACAAAATTTGTACATTGTTTGCGGTATTATGATAAACAAAATTTTGTTAATAGGTGAGGAAGACACGCAGCTAGTACCACCCACTATGTCAGACGAAGCAGTGGCACAGGCATGGTACAGATTGTTGCGTACTATCGGTGATCCTGTAGATTTGTGCAGACCTGCCGTTGTCTCGCAGACACAAGCGTTTCTGCAATATGCTATCGCCAGTCCTAATGTCATAGATCCGTGCCAGCATCCGTGTTTGCAAAGCTTGCCGCAAATATTTCTAAAAGCAATAAAAGGCATAGCAGGTCAGGTCGACGCTTTCCTTGGTAAGTCAAGGCTGTCGATGTAATATACAAAAATACTAACGTTTTTTATTCACTAAAAGGATCAAGCGAATAAATTAATTTTAATTACTATGAATATAATGAAAATGATAAAAAATAAAAGTGTTAGTATTAAGAATATAATTATTGAAAAGTTAAAAAATTTCAGAACACTATATTTTACACACAAGAAATATATAATATTAATTTGAAAAATAGAAATCACCAATAATGACCGCTCGGTACTTTTAGTGTTAAACGTTAAATTCGTGATTTATCTCGAAAAGATTGTGCGCTATAACTTGTAAATTATCTGAGAGGCAAGACGACATCAAATGTATATCTCCTAAAATTTGTTTCTGTCTGACACTCGCACACCTGTCGGCTTGTTCACATATATTTGCAATGGTGGCGGTTGCACATTGTCGCAAATGTTTTAGGAGTTTCACAGGCATGCTGTTGGGAGGAATGTTGCATATCCAACGTTACAGGAAATAGCGGCATCAGCAGCGGGGGTGTCGGATGGGACAGATCGAACAGTAGAGATCAGCCTCAGCCTTCCCCCACACCCCCAACTCAACGCAGACTTGCCAAAAGTTTCAGTGTCACTCCTTCTGCAGTTACTAAGGGTATCCCAGTGCAATACTTTCTCTTGCCAATACGATATTATACTCAATCAGTTAATACCTCTCTGCTAAGATCTAAAATCACAGATACTGTATAGCACTCTCATTTTGTATCATAGTGTTTTCCTTTTATGCTATACTTTATTCTATATTATTTTATATTAAATTCTGCTTTTATTATAAGCAAAATTGTTATTGTTAGAATAAATTGTAATTATTAGAACTTAGATAATTCATTTGTTGCTATTATAAAACATCTTGTAGAAACACAAATATTTGGCAGGAATTCCGAAAGCATCGTTAATTGGATTGACGACAAGCCGTGTGACTAGTACACCACCGATATTAATATCTAATTCCGGACCATCATCTGCTTCAAGTACAGCATGTAATATCATTTCTATAAGTTCATAGTTATATGACAAAGATATATTCTGATGATTTAATCGCACGATTGTGTGATTTGTAGCCATGACTTCGTTAGGCCAGGATATTAGACCTCCTTTAGCTCCAGGACGACCCAAATGTAACAGTATACTGCATCTCTTCGGGGAATGGTTGTTCGAAGCTGCGTTTATCGGTACCGAGGGTTGGTCGCAGAATTTACCACGTAAGTATTGCTTATATGTGCATGAAATAAGGTAATATTTCACATGTAATTGTTTTTTATGTATTATAATCATTTCATGTGCAGAACCATCGGGTGCTTCCAAACGTCCATCTTCGGTACTTGTAGATGGGCCGAGCTCATTGCAGGAAACCGTAAGCGATGTACCATCGACACTCTGTATAGATCGCTATGAGTCCGGCAGAGCGGAGGCATTGGGCGCCCTGTGTCGAATATTTTGCGCCAAGAAAACAGGCGAAGAGATCTTACCTGTATACCTTGCTAGATTTTACCAGGCGATGTATCACGGCCTCAAAGTCGACGAGGTATCAGTTGTAATGTAACTCATATTTCTTGATAGACTTAGAGAGAGATCAATGTAACGTGCGTACACTTAATTCATTTTCAGTCTCGTGAATGTGGTGAAACATTGGCGAGTATTTTGTTGAATTCAGCTGATCTGTTTCGCCTCGATTTGAACGGTATACAAGTCTTGGTACCAGCCGTATTATCCGCTCTGGAGGTGGTTTTACCAGAGAAAGATTTGAAGCTGAAATCTAATATAGTATCGAAGCCGGATTTGAGAAGGGCCTCGATACATTTGCTAATATCGATGTTAACGCTGCCTTTGCATTTTCAGGTAAAAACATACATATAAAAATGTAATCTCTCTCTTGAATTCTCTGCTTTGGCAAAATTTATTAATATTTAATAAATCGTTTCGTAATTTAATACAATATGAACAGTATTCAAGTAATTGAAGAAAGATAAATGTGAATTGCAGAATCTCGCTATTAAGGAGCTTCCGGTATTCCCAAGCACAAACTTTTCCGAGAAAAGTCCCGTAACATTTGTACAGTTAAAATCAAGACTCATGAATTTACTCATAAACGCTTTACAAGTAGAAACTGATCCTCAAAATACGCACATGCTATTGGGTAAGTAGATAAAATTTAAAATTACTGTCGATTGCTTGTGATTTAATTTTTACTTTACAATTTGTATTTGTTACTGAATTCTTAACATTATTCTTGATCAAAATGTTCATTTCTTTGAAAAAGTTAATTTTCTGTTAAATATAAATTTCTTAAACAAAAGTTCTCAACAAAATCAACATTTCATTGAAAAGTAGGAAATTAAATTTATGAATAATGACAAAATATAGTTTTACATAGTTGGAAATAAATGTAAAGATAATTTGTAAAAATTATTCTTACTAGGGGCTTTGTTATTGAGTGTGCAAGATTCTGCAGCAGCGGAAGAAGTAGAGCAAGTCACACAACCCGATACCGTAACTAGTGATTCGACAACTAATTTGTTATCTTCAGGTTCGTTCTTGATATTAATAAACGATATTAGCTTGCGTTCGGCTAGGTGCACTGTTCTGAATTACTTAGTAATGATTCCTGTTTGTATCGAAATTTTATAAATGCGATCTTATGGTCATAGGCATTATCTTTTATATATCACGTGGCAAAATAGTATAAAACATTATTATTTTATTGCTATTTTATTAAAAAATAATTTGATAAAGAATACTTTTAGACAAAGTAATAAATAAATTTAATAATTAATCTTACTCATCTCACCATAATTTGCCTATGATCATGACTGGTTTCTCTTTGATGCCAGTAAAATAGCAATGTCCCAGTATACTGCTACTTTGTTTAATGCAGCGACTTTTTAATATTTATCGATAGCTTTGTGAATGGGAGTTAGTATGAGGACGCAAATATTCTGATTACAATGCTTAATATCACCTCTCATCGTATCAGCTTTACACGTGCTTATATATGAAATGTTAATTTTTTTATTGTTATTACGAGTTGTGTTCTGTTGTGCGTTTCGCCATTGTACTGTCTTATCATCGCTTAATATAGTCACCAGCGACTCGGCCAGTCAAATAAGTATATCCAGTGATCAGCGATCAATCGGTGATGCCTCTGACATTGCAACTCTTCAAGAGGAATGCATTGCGTTTGGTAAATACATATTTATTGTTTTATCTTGCTACATACATTTCATAAAAATCGCATTCAAAAACATTTGTAGAATGCGAATTTCATTTCTGCTTATCGTTTTTTTTATTATGTTTTTTATTGTTACGTTTATAATTCTTGAGAAAAGTTTTACTTATTCTCTCTTCCTTCCCCCCCCCCCCCTCTCTCTCTCTCTCTCTCTCTCTCTTTCTCTCTCTCTCTCTCTTTATACATATATATGTATATACGCACTTAGTATTTGTTATATATCAATTTTATATATGTATGTATTTATTTGTATAAAACACAGGCCGGTAATATTATTTTTTATAGACCTAATGATTAAATGAGAGGAACATTTTTGTAGATTCTGCCCATGCTCTTTTTGTACGAGCAACGTACTTGGTGTGTCACCGTTTGATTTCATCGTGGAAGACCGACTTAAATATTTCTCTAGCAGCACTCGAGATGCTGTCGGGATTAGCACGTACCCGCATTCGTGAAACAGGTAGTAACATCATCGTATTAAGATTGAAATGTTGCTATGTACATATATTTTTATACAAGAAGTAGATACTTATCTACATCTTATTTCAAATAATTCTGCATGCAGCAAGGAAACTCACAGGTTCGATATTGCTGTCAGATAGAATAAATTGTCAGCTTTATAACGTTGAACGTTCGTGGAACAAGTGCGCCTCGACAATGCTATGTATGTTGCAGATGCTCTAGAATGCAAGAGAGCGGTTAAATGGTTGTGTGATTACATTTCATATCAGTGTTGGCGTCCACCCCCGGCGCACTCTAAGGACCTCCATTCGTCTATCGTTGCGGCATTCAGTTGCTTGACAACCTGGCTGACTGCTCATCCGCAATTGTTACAGGTTGGCAGGTTTTTTAAAGTTGATTTACAAAATTATATAATCCTAATTGAAATTCTATATATGTATACATTGATTTTTTTTATTAAAGGACAAAGACTGTTTGACCACAGTATTAGAAGTCGTTGAGCTCGGAGTGTCCGGTACTAAGAGCGTTGGAAAGCCAGGAGAACCCGTTAAAATGAAAGATGAAAAGGAGCTAAAACCCGCGTCCATGCGCGTAAGAGATGCCGCCGATGCTCTTCTTACTATTCTGTTGGAACAGGTTTGTTCACCGAAGTATACAAGATATAAAAAAAGCAGCAATCCAAGATTTTCAAAATTAGAATTTAAACTTCTAAAGGTTTATTATCAGAGATTTCAACAGTTCTTAAGAATTTTCAACCTGAGATCGTAGAAATTACTTTTTCTTAATTTTGTCGAAGTTATAATTGTTTTTCTCTTTGTAGGTTGGCTATTTTCCAAGTGCCTGCGGAGCACAATCGCTCTCGTCGTTATTGGATGAAGTATCTCTGCTTCGGCACTGCAACAGCTGGACTGGCGGACGCGTGGCACGACAAGCAGCCGTCGAGAGATTTCGTTATTTCGTATCCGAAAACGCAATTGTGTTAGCGCTGTTAGAGGAACCGTTGGGAAACGATCAGGATCCTCAGCCGACCGTGACAGTTTTAATTCGCGGACCGTTCGGTAGACACGCGTGGACGATGCAGCTCCGTCATTTACCGCGTCATAGATCCAGCATTAGAAGTATAAACAGCAATCCTGGGCGACCCTTACCGTTGGCTGAAGCCGCACCGCGAACTGATTACAAACCAAGATTCTTTCCAGATAATGTTGATCGTATTCCTCACTGTAAAGTGTAAGTAAATGCCTAGATTTTAAACCAAGAACTTGAGATTCAGTTTAACTTAGGGCTATAAAAATTTAGATTTGAATAATTAAAATAAAATCAAAATAAATCTGATTATGTAATTGAAATTATTACCGAAACATTGAAATTACTGAAATAGAAATGTGAAATTATTCAAATACAAATGATAATATTCTGATTATGTGATGTATAAAATGTTCAATTATCGAATTAATTTCAAATGTTCTGATACATCTAGAACTTGGATCGCATTTTACACAACATTCTAATTCAAGCGATATTTAATGTTTATGATAGGGATGAATCGATACCAAGTCTCGAGGCAGTTATGAGTGATAATGACGCGGTGAGAGACGAGCATCAGATCCTTGCGCAACTCTTAGAACGTCAGATAACGCTCGAATCGAAGCATGACAATGGTAATGTAAAAGCTGCAGAAGACAAAACTGATGAATGTGTACCGCCCCAGGTTTGTCACGAATTCCAAACGGCTCGTTTGTTCTTGAGTCATTTTGGTTTCTTAAATATGGAACCTAAGGAGAATGATGAATCTAGAAATAGCGGACTAATTGCTCTAGATCCAACCATCCCTGGATTCTGTACGGAGTTGGAGACTCTGGACAATATTAGTCCACGAACGTGCGACACTGTTCATATTTTTTATGTGAAAGCAGGTCAAAAGTCTGCCTTCGAAATATTATCAAATGTGGTAAGATATTAATTTTTTGGTCATAGTTTAGAATTTTGGAATATATATAATATTATCAATATTTATCCTGTAGTGTAAATTTTCTTTAAAAAAGGATGATACATCATTATGTTATACATCTTGTATTCACAGCTACATGATGAGAATGTATCGCCAAACTTCTTGGAATTCTTAAGCTCTCTTGGTTGGCCCGTTTCCGTATCTACTCACGCAGGTTGGACGGGTCATGTATCGACTTCATGGAGAGTGACAGCGCAAGTGAACGTGCCACAGCCAGCTCACAGTAATCATGGCGGGGCGCTTTACAATGGTGACACTCACGTGCTGTATTGGGCAGATGTGAGTTCGGAAATTGCTTTTGTCGTGCCTACGCAATCGTATCTCATGGCCAGCTCGGATTCGTTAGAGGAAAATAGTTATAATAGCGATATTAGCACCAGTGGACAAGGTAAATCTTGAAAAGGATATAAATAAAAAATACAGGAATTGTTTATCTCTTTTAATTGCTTTTCTATTATATATTTGATTTAGATTATTATGTATATTTTACAAAAAGAGGAATATGGTTTACTTTTTAAAAGCACAGTTTATATATTTTATTGCAGTGTGGTTTGAACGGAGCATCAGTGAAAGCACGGATACTCGCAGCAGCGGAACATCACAAAACACAACACAGAATTCTAGAACGATGTCGCTCGACCTGGAGAAACAACCATCGAGCTTACCGGGAGTAGGTCCGACGAATTCTTCGAGTGCAGATCCCATTAGGCCTAGGAGAACAATGAAGCAAGCTGTGCCATCTCAAACTAATACAAAGATCATGGTTGTGTGGTTGGAAAGTCTGGAGGATCATATCCAGTTCCCGATTGGTTCGTTTGCTCTTTTTTCGATAAGCACCCCGAAAATCGCATTAATTAAATAATTTGAACTTTTTATTATATATTTGATTGCCATACGGTATTATTATCTTGTATTTTTTCTCTATCAAAGTATATACGATCTTATTGGATTATAGGCGATTTGCTACCTTCCACTTATACCGGACTGGAACAATCGAGAATGCTACAAACAACCGATGTGCACGTTATTTTTCTTCAAGCTCTGGCTAACGGATTGATGCGAGTCAGATTGCAGGGACCGGTTTCTAGAATTAATTTAGCAACGCCTTTAATTGATGGCATGGTAGTGTCAAGAAGAGTTTTGGGGACTCTAGTTAGACAAACGGCTCTTAATATGGGTCGTAGAAAAAGGCTTGATAACGATAGGTAAAATTAATAATGAAAAAGATCATTCTTAATTACATTTGATTAATTGTATTGAAATATTATATTTGTTTATATTGAAATATGCGAGCTTTTTATTTTAGATAAAATGTATAAATGCATATATTTCGTTTCAGTTATCATCCACCGCATGTACGAAGACGTCTAAAAATTCAAGAGATGGTACAAAAATATAAGAGAAATTTAACTGATCCAGAGTTATTGACACTATTATTCAGCAGCACGCAAACTTATCAAGTGAAATAGAAATTTTCAAGAATCTCTATGAACTCAAGCGATAGCCTAATTTCTTTATTGCTATAAGAAAAAAAAAATTTTTTTAAGAATGATTTTTACATCTGTTATATTAAATATCTTGAAGATAAAATTATTACCTTCTATTAAAATAGATGAAAGAGGATAACTTTAAATTCTTAGTAAAAAAAATAGAATGATTTTCTATTTGTAACTATTTCTTATTGAAAGATATACTCACTGTAATAACAATAGTTTTTTATTTCCCCAACATTACTTTTCCATACTTAATTTAGATTCCTTGAATACAAAAAATGAGCTACATAATAATCCTTAATAATACACAAAATATATCTCATTAATAAAATGTGAAGTTCAAAAAACAATTTTAATATAATAATCAAATAACATTGTATCAAGCATCTACAAATTTAATATGAAATATTTGGAAAAATACAGTGAAGAGAAAAAAATAATAATACGAAAGAAACTTTATTTACATTTTTAATTGTTTCTATTCAGTTTCTTTTGGATTTTGATTTGTATCTCTCAAAATATTCTATATATACGTGTACAGAAATTAGATTTTCTAAAATAAATACTTTGAGGGATTTCAATACAAAATTTTTTAATAGTCCTAGTTCCCGGTGACTCTTTGTACATAACTATAAAATTTAAAAAATAGCTGTAATAAATAAGAAAGCTTTAAAACATATTGCATTTAACTGAAAAATTATGATTTTCTGAAAGAAAGTCACCTATTAAAAAGTAGAAAAATAATATAAGTAAATAAGTTTCAAAAGAAACGTATTTTTGTTATATGATTTTTAATATATATATATATTAAACAAAAGAAGCTTTATGTATTACTATTTGTAAACTTATTACATATGTTGTAAATAACAATGTAAATAAACTCAAATTATCCAAATTATGTATAGTTGAAAGCTTACTGCAAATATAAATGTGTAAAAATAAGTGACTACAATAATGTGTGTAATTGATTTTCCGTATAAAAATAGCACACTATACTCTACTGCTACTGCATAAAAAATTAATGTACACATTTAAACGTATAATATAAGTCATTTTTACACGGAAAATCAATTACATACATATATTATTGTCACTTAATTCTTTTTACATATATATATGATATATATGTATATATGTAGTGACCGTCACTTTTTATACACTTGGATTTGCAGTGCCCTCTCAAGTCCGTTGTCTCTCAAAGACGTGATTATTTATTGACCTTTATTGATTCAAATATAGTATTTTTAATGACGATTCCCTCCGAACGGCCTTTTAAAAGAGGTTGTCATAGTAAAAATACTCTTGATGATTTGCCATTGTCTTACGAGAGGTAATATGATCAAATAAAATCTAATATATATGTGTACGAATTTGAATCTGAATCTTTGGTTCACAGAATGCATCAACTTTTCATATATGCCACGATTACCATACTACATGTTTATAAATGTAGAAATACCAAACAGTAGAAAAATACATTTCCTGTAATTATTGTTATGTATTCTTCTTTTTTATGAATATAAAAATTTGTACACACATATATGTATTAAATTGAATTTAACAGATCATAATAAATGTCTGAAATTATTAATGTCTAAACAAAAAACACATGTTTAATTCTAAGATTTTAATTGGTTACTTCTTACGCAATAAAGCGAAATAGCTACACATGACTATTTGAATTAAAAATATCTCTATAGTTACAATACAAAATTATTTGATGATCCTTATAGTTTTCGGTGATTCTATATAAAACTCTGAAATTCTAAAAATAGCTATGACAGACAAAAGAATTTAAAACATATTGCATTTAAGTAACAAATTATGATTTTCTGATACAAAGGAATTCCTTTGTAGTCATTCTCTTCTGTTTGATATGGATCTGTAAGATGATTGTCACACGGCTTGATAGCTAATCAGTGATTCATTTGTTTTTGTTATCTGTACTGTTACTTCTAAGTAATAATTATATACACATTCACATAAGAAAATAACAGTGTTTCATTTTGCTTATATAATAAATTTTTTATATTAAGTGGAATATCAATTATTATGCAGATATTAATTAATACAATATTACGCCTTATTGTTACAATTTAGTACGAGAAATCGAGCACACTATATTGTGTGTTTCTTGATGAAGTTCTCTGAAATTACGACGATTTCCATTCAATCGTATCTGTATCTGCGTTGGCGTTAAAACTTTTGATGTATTAAAAACAGGCAGAGAGAATTTAACAGCATGATTCAGCGTTTATTTCTCATCTAAAGACGATACATCATTGCCACTTAACTAATATGCCTTTGTAGGAATGCGCGAATCCATTGTTTGCATAATTCATTGTCGCAATTGTTGGCACACATTGTAATATCGCGCTATATCTACCTTGCGTAACAAAAACAGACGAATTATCCGATACGAGTCGTCACTCTTATCGCCGTTGACAAGTTAGTCGCCGATTAACTATCAAGTAGCATTTGTGTGTTTTATCAACAAGTTGTACAGAAGTCGCAGAATGCAGAAATAAAAAAATGTTTCGAATGTTTTTCTATAACGAGAAACTAATCGATGAAGGAGATCGGGTGTTATTAAAAGAAATGGAGATCAAACAGCATTTGTACATAATATATTAATGCGGAAATTTTAATTTTTTATTTCTTGATAAACATAAACAATAGAGTTATTATAATCTTTTATACAGAAAGAAAGATTAGACTGGAGGCAACGAATGTATTGCGAGCAATTTTAATGATTGAATTAATCAGTAATTTTTACGTCTATCATCAAATATATTTTTACTGTTAATATGCAGATAGAATTATTAATTTTTGATTTGGTGGTAGAAAGAAAGATTAGATGGGGAACATTAGATGGGGAATAAATTGTAGCCAACAATTTTGCAAATAATTTTGCAGAGATTTAATTAATCACCAATTAACTTAATATCGATTAAATATTATATCAGATATTATCTTGTTATGTGAATGATTTTTATCAATTATTAGATGAAATGAGAGATTAGATTAGGATAGATGAATTATCTAATTTTAGAAAATTTGCGGACGGTAATTCTGCCGATTGAATTAATCACTAATTAGGTTAATCGGAAGAGACACACATCCCAGTAAACAAAAATGGATTGAAATGAGATTTTTAGAAATATGCGCAAATTCATGAATGTTAAAATAAATCCTTTTCAATCCTGAATACATTTTTATTCATTTATATATATAGGAATTGCACGGAGCATATCTGCCTTTCAATCCAAAGATAATATCAGCTTTTTCACTGCATCGTGAATACTGATCAATTCAAAATTTTAAATAGAAAACGCAGGTCTTTAATCTAATTGCATCCAATTGAATCCGAAAAATAGTTTTCTCTAAATACATAAAATGCGTATTCGAATAGATAAAATGTTCCATTTGTTTGCTGGGTATATTTCAATTTAGTCGAATGCTTAATTGAAATCGAGTTTCATATCAACATTCTAAAATTTTCAGTTTACAACAGTAAATAATTTATAACAGCAAATTTTTTTATAGTCGATTTCCACGATATATAATGCAGCACATTCTTTCAACTAAGCGATAAAAGTTATCATCCTTATCACAAAGAAATTGAAGATGACAATACAAAGTCAGTGACATATCAGCCGTTCAATACCCCGTATTATATTGTTGACATGGATTCGTATTTAGTTTCGTATGTTTACAAACACTCGTGCTACGTCAGCAGATTATTTTTGACTCGTCATGAATCTCGGAGATTAACGCCGATATAATTTCGCTGAATCCAGGTGCGCGAAGATGATCCTTATATATTTTCGTGAGTAACATTCTCTTTTTTTTTCGCAAGAGCATTGAAATTTGATCTTTCCACTATCCAGATAGCACTCATCAATTAAACGCAAAAAATATTCACTTTTCTAAGTTATTTTTTTAAATCTATAATTTTTTACGTGAAAATAATTTTTAGATATGAACTCAAAAAGAATTATAAAATATATTTATATTATGTAATATTTGATGCGTGTATGTATACATATATATATTTCTAATAAAAGTAATTTATAATTTTCATATACAAAAACCAAAAGGTATGATTTATTCTTACAAGGGAACGATCGGAACTGACCCTCACCGATTTCGATGCGCTTTGGATATATTGTACGTAAAACATCAAAAAATATTCGACTCATATTTTTGTATAGCGGTTTATCTCGTGGTTTAGGGGTTGAAACACTTCCTTGAAAAGAAAATGGATTTTTTCGTTTTCAGCGAATATTTTCGAAATTATGCCGCGTATGAAAAAATGTTTTATACAAAAGTTTTATGGTAATTTTACAATATGCTCTTTATTTCCTGTTTCTTACTGTTTGTCTCTTGCCCATTATTGCCTTTTTGACCAAAAAGCAAGAGACAGCAAGAAACAGGAAACAAAGAGTAAATTGTAGAATTACCATTATAGAGAGAGTATTTTATGCTCTACAGTCTATATAATAGTGAATTTTTTTAAAACAAATTTTTTAATTAACCCCCATCCCCATTAAAAAAATACAATATTATATAGAGCTTAAAAAAAACTGTAAAACTTTTGTATAAAACATTTTTTTATACGCGGCATAGTTTCGAAGATATTCGCTGAAAATGAAAAAATCCATTTTTTTCGAGGAGGTGTTTCATCCTCTAAACCTCGAGATAAATTACTATAAAAAAATATGGGTCGAATATTTTTTGATGCTCTATACCATATTCAAAGCGTATCGAAATCAATGAGGGACAGTTCTGACCATTCCCTTGTTAGACAAAATGAAGAAATAGAAAAAGACTAGAAAAAGAATATCCTTTGAATCTGAAAAAGAGCTTATTATAAAAAATTGCAACGATGTATGATATATAAAGTCAAATCTTTTAATTGAGATTTTCGGAAAAATACCTTTAGAATAGAAATAAAACAAAACAGGTCATTTCCTAAATCGGGAATTAAAAAAGAATTTTTTTCTGGATTTGTTGTGATATTTGGAAAAATTATACCAAATTGTACGAGATTCTAAAATGTTCTTCACTGAAATAAAAAAAACCCTAAATTAAAATATGAAGTTTCTCACAAGAAACTGCGGCGGAACGTGATGACGAATTGGTGGCACGCATATGTGAAGATCGAAGAAACGCTTCGCACGAATGTGTGAGTGTCAAGTAATTTGTACTTAATAGCACAATAAAGACCAGCAAGATCGTATTGTGTACGTGTTTGTGTACAATCAAGATACGCGACTGGATGATTCTTCAAGGTTCTTATTCGCGCGATGAGTTATATAAATGTGCTTTCCAATAGTCATTCTGTTAAAACTCGAGATTCGCATTACATAAAAATAAGGTATTGCACAACGAGAGTTTTCAGATATCTGCGCTACTCGAAAGTAGAATAAAGGGGCAAAAAAAAAGATATCAATTGACCCGTGTGTACCGAGCTATCACACGATCGTATAAATACAAGACAAGATTTTCACGAACAATCCTATTTTTCAAAAAATCATTCAGATTTTACGAGGCAAAATATTGCGGGTATTATATCAATGAGAGAAAGGTTTTCTACAAATATTTTTGAAAAAAATCCAAAAATATGTAATTATATAGTCCAAATATAATTATAATCTAAAATATAATTCAAAACGTAATTTAAGAGTTATTATCATTATAGAGAGAATGGACTCGATAGAATTATAAATCTAAAACAATAAATTTAGGCCACCCATACAGAAATTTAATGCTGGAAAGTGATTATAATTAACTTCGAATATTTTGAACAATAAATTAATGTGTTTTTAATATTCATAAATAAGTTTTAGTATTAATAAACTGGATTTCTTTAAAAGGACGTATTTGTTAATTCTTATAGTTTACAGCAATAGCAATTAAACTAAATAAGATTCATTCTGAATTTTATAAAGTAATACAATCGTCAACATTATTGATGCTAAAATTAGACAAGCTTATTCGGTCAATTTGCTAATGTTACCATTCATGTGGCAATGTTATTACATCATTTTACGTATAATGTCGTGCTTATCATTTTGCACAACTTGGTGCAAGACGAACATTATCGTGTTTTCCGCTGACTTCGCTGAGTTAAAAAACGAATTTCCATTCGACTATGCTGCAAATTGAGATTGGTATGTTGCCTCCGCCATAAAGGTGGATATGCATGAGACGATTAGGGATTTTATCTAAAAGAGAGGGTGATTCTTCAATCAGACTCCGATTATTTTAATAATTATGATGCAATCCAGGCAGCACAGAATATTTATATGATAAATGTTATTTATTATTATTCATTTTTTGAAACGTTATATAAATATTTGATATACACACTTATTTATATAAAGTTTTATTCGAAATATTGTTGAAATAATCGACGTCGAATCGATATCAATTCAATGTCGATTTCATTAATTGTCTTTTATTCGAAATATTATTGAAATAATCGACGTCGAATCGATATCAATTCAATGTCGATTTCATTGTCATATTTCTCACTGGGTTAATTATGATAAATACAATAAGTATTTCTTATAAGTATTTTTTACTTGGATTATTATGGCTCATTAAGTATTTTTTCATATAGCATTTACTATAGCATTTACAATAAATATTTCATAACATTTGTAATAAATGTTTTTTATATGACTGTGTAATTTAAGATCACAAAAAATATTTACAAAATTTGCTATATTAATAGATTTATTAACATTATTTGATAAATTTATTAACCCATTGTTTAATTGATTGAAAAAAATATTGAAAACCAGATTAAATCAGAGACAACGTAACATAAAATTCATTTCTCTTGTGAGACCGTGTCATACAATTCGGATTCTTCAAAATTGAAATGACTTCCCGTTTTGCTTTTATTTATAACTTTGATGAGAGGGAAAAATACGTAGTCCGCGTCATTATATTTCTTAATTATACGAAAAGTTATTTGCAGAAAAATTCTATTATCGAAATAACGGGACCGATCCACTGATGTCATCGGACGGGCGCCGCGGATCGACGACGTGAATGTAGTCGCGGGACACGAGCGTCAGCGATTTTCCCGCGCGGTCCGCGGTGCGCGTGGTGATTGGCTGCACTTTTCTGCCACCGGCGTCACGCTGTCGATGATACGCGGACTGATACAACGATGGTAGTGGGTGGCTGTTAGCGATGTGGAGGATAAGGATACTTTCACTGGGTATTCTCGCACTTGTCCCAGGCAGTCTCGAATTGGACAGGTCGGACTCGCCAGAATACGTTTTGTATATGTTGGAGTCAGCTTCAACCGTTGAACGCGGTATTATATCGTCAAATAATCCGGCACAATCGCGGTGAATTGCGATAACTACGGCGGGCAACGGTGCAGTGGCTGTACTTGGTCGCCTCTTGCAGCCAGCTTCAGAGAGCTCTAGTGCAGTGCAGATGAGTGCAGAATGTAGACTGTGGAGTAGAACTGCAGAATAGTGACGGTCAGTGACGGCGACGGCACGGCACGACTCGAATAACTCGCTCACAGCGAGGGTGTCGCATGTGCCGTGTGGTGGGCTTCCTTTCTGCGTGTATTTCTCCGTGCCTGTCTTCGGTCTCACCGTCGTGCGTGCCGCAGGCTGGTGGGACAGTCGGGGACAGTGCAATTCCTGGAGCGAGAAAGATCGGTCGCACTCCTCGCCGATCTCTCAGTGGCTTGTGTGCGGTGCAGTCAGGTGCGGTGTACTGTATGCGGTACTGCTGTGAACGACTCGATTTCACACGAGAGCCTGCTCGCCGGTGGATCTTAAATGTGTTAGTATGGATCAGAATCAAACGATCGGAATGGACATGGACCAGTTCTGCGGTACCAAGTTCTGGGTGAGTCGGAAGGGCAAGAGAATCCTTCGTCGGAACTTCTATCTGCTTCTATCTCCCCCAGAGATCCTTTCCTTTGCTCTCCTTCTCCTCGCCCTTTTCCTCACTTCGATACTTTCATCTCGGGATTTGCGAAGGACAACCCGTTGATTATAGTCTATCGTCTCGAGATCCCCCGCACGACGCTCTCAGTCCAAGAGTCTTCGAGTCGTTCGACCTTTTCGGACGGCGATTCTTCTAGGAAGCGTAACATTTCTCGCGCGATTGTGTAATCCTTCAACTGACTCTCTCATTAATCTCTTTCTCTTCAGCTCTTCGATTGATCCGCAGAGCGAAAACGATGAGTCCCGCGTGAACTTCGAAGTCGATCGAAGAGTGTCGAAGGCCTGCCTTCTTTCAGGACACACATGGTGCTTTCCAGCAAGAGACAGCTCTAATTTACTCTGTTACGTTTAATTATCTACGATTCATATCCTATAATGTATACCTAAACACGAAGGTCACGACAATGTAAACAGTTTATTTATCGTGTTTAGGTAAAATTTAGATTAGATGCAAAGTATAGATTGCCGACTGAACGGCGAACGCACTGTGTAAACTCGGTCATAGTACAACGTGACACAGTGATCGTTTCGCCTTTGTTAACATTGCAAACAAGGATGTGACGATCATGTTACACTGTGATATCTGTGTTGTGTTAGGAAGTACCCACAGCAACCAAACGTCATTCTATTCTATGAAGTGCAAGAATTTTCGAGGATCTCAAGCAATGCAAACAGAAATTTGTCTGCTTTTTGTTAGAAAATACATGATTCTATCAAGGATTCTCTCTTCGTGGGATAGAATGACATTTTATTATCTGTAGGAAGAATAGAGTGACATTGGTTGTCTGTGAAAAGAATAGAATGACGTTTAGATATTTTCTAACAAAAGACACAGACAAAATTTCTGTTTGCCTAAGATCTTCGAAAATTTTTACACTTAGCGAGATATGAGTTGAAGAGAAAGATAGCAAAGAGTCTGAATGCAAAACGTACAAGTAACGTGAACGGGGTATCGATCACGTAACTTTCTTTTTAGAATGGAAACGTAAAAAGTGAATTTTTTGATGTATATAAATATGTATATATGCATGGAGACCATGGAGACATAAAACCTTGCCATCCGAAATTGCATGGGAGAAGGCATAAGAAAGAAGAATGAGTGAGCATGAAAAGGCATAAAAAAAACATGGCAAGACATTTGTGTTCCTCTGCGTACATACATATACACACATCATGCGAACAATTTTCCCATTTCACGGTTTCTGTCCTGGAGAAAAGTTGCATAATTGACCTTCTGACCATTCGCGTCCACGTTTACACGAAACAGCAGGTCTATTCGCGTTGCTTGAAATCTCCCCGAATTTTTGCACTTAAAATAGGATAGATATAGTATACTTGCGCGTTGAAAAGAGAGAAAAGTAAGAAGTCGAGTGCAAACAATACAAGCCACGCGAACAAAACCTATTGGCGTTTTCGTTTTTCTTTTCCTAGGAGAAAGTCACGTGATGTTACCCTGTCGCCAGGGCTGGCATGTATTTAAAATACTTAAACGTTTTTAAAAAATACAGTTTCTGCGATGATGAAAGTATATTTCATATTTTGCATTTCAGCGGTTTACATGAAAGTATTACGTTTTTTTTTTCCAGATAACATACAATATTTGTAAGATATTTGTAAATATTTATAAGATTTATTTTTTTTATATTTTGTAAATATTTTTGTGGGCTTATAGATTGCATAGATCATAAACATTTATTACAAATGTTATGAAATATTTATAATAAATGCTATGAAAATATTTAATGACACATAATAATAAAATTAAAATATGCTTATTAGAAATATTTATTTATATTTAGTCGAAATATTTTAATAATATTTCGAGTAAAACTTTATATAAAATATATATAAGATATTTATAACATTTTAAAAATAGTACATTTTATGGACAGTAATAAATATTTATTATAAACGTTATGTGTTGTCTTGGTTGTATTTAAAATTGACAGATTGAAAATTTTATATATATATATTTCATAATTTAAATATTAACATTAATTGTCAATCTTAGTATTTGAGATACATACAAAATACAAAATACTTTCAATTTGTTGTTATTGATACTGAACTACAAAATACAAAATAAAATACCGTTTATCAAATAAAAGTATTTCAAACACATGTCCAGCCCTGCTTGTCGCTTAATCGCCTCACTTCATCGCCTCGTGCTGTGCCTTCTTGCGCACAGCACACACACACGCGTTTGCTGTGTGTACGTATACATACGTAACACGCCTTCCGATTATAGAGCCGACGACGTGATGAAGCAATGTCGTTACCTTCGATTGCGCGATTTTAGCGAAATCGAAATTATATACGGAAATAAATTGTGCACACGTGCGAGAATTTGTCGGAGTAAAAATCTGGATGCCTCGTGTGCAAATATTACACTCAGCATTCGCACTTTTATCAATTGGGATCCCGCATGCGTGAGATAAAAGACAAACACGCGCATCGGACGCGTGCGACAAACAACTCGATAATTATCGCGCTCGTGCAATCCGCGATGATGAACGCGAATTCATCATAGTTTAATTGTCGACAAAAGTTAATAATTTCCTATTTCTTTGTTTTCTCTTATTTGAAGAATATCCGAGAGATCATTTTTAATTCTATTTTCACTCGTCTAACATCAATAACTAACTTCATTTTTTTCTAAATTTTAAAACTGGAAAAAGATGAAGAATAACTTAAACCAAAATTAAAATTAATCCACATTGATTAAAACAGTTGATATAAACGTTTAATTCAAATAGAATCTCATTCTTAAAGATTGAAAATTGAATCACCCTTTTTCAAGACTGACTCAATTTTCACTCTTTAGAGCGAGATTTAATTAAAACAAATTTCGAGAGTAACATTCATAATAACAGAATAAATAATAAAAATAAACGACCCTGTCTTTAAAGGAAAGAACATAGGAAACAACCTATATGTAAAATATTTTTAGTGAAAAAAGATTACTAGATATGTTTGTTTTTAAGAGCGTGACCAACATTTTTAAATTATTTATTTCTTTACTCTTAAACTACATTTATATACTAAAAAGGTGAAGAATTAATTTAATTGTAACATTAAAATTAAATTACATTAATACAGCATAAAATGCTTTTAAACAAGTGGAAAAAATGATATAAAACAATAAATACCGGTAATCTATCCGACCACGATAAGACATGAAAGATATGTCAAAATTTAATATTAGTCACGTTTTAATTGAACAATTGACCATTATGAAATTGAAATATGGATTTCAATTGGAATTATTTTATTATTCACAGAAAACTCAATGGAAATCTAGGTAATAAGTAATTGAATAATTAAAATCAGAATTTATTTTAAATAATTTTATATATTTGTGTGTGCCCTATTGGAGATTAAATATTTCGAGAAGATAACTGCGGAACAGACGAGATGGGAGAGGAAAATATTTAGAAAGAGGAAAAGATCATTGGAATAATTGAATAGCGGACTCATTGGCTCGTTTACCGCACACCACTGTTGTGTAATAGTTTAATTTCCTAAATGGCGGCGCGTCGAATGGAGCAACTTATATCATCGGGTTCTCCCCTTTTTTTTTTTCATTCGTCTACAGCGTTCGGCATCTCGAATTAACGTATGTTCCAATTCCACAGTCATCGAAATAATTACCACGTATAGATCTGATTGACGAATTAGAAATTAAAAAATTTTATTTATATTTATAAGAAATAAATATTTTTGAAATTGTAATTATTAAATATTTTAAAATCATTCTATGTTTATTTCAAACATTTCTTTTTCTATTATAGAGATTCAATATTCGTTTTTGTAAAGAACCAAATTTTCTCCAAAGAGATATTTTATTCCCTAAAATTGCAAATGGGCATGTATAAAAACATATGTATTTCTTATTTCGCTCTAGAATTTCAACGTATTACAAGCTCATCAAAATTGGAGAGAGACACTTTCGAGAGTTTCCTTATTAGATCGTTGATTCTTCACGTCTTCATCTTGGCCTATTGTGTCTTTATTTCATAAAGTTATGTCGATATCGGTGACGTAAATACTACTGTATTCCCATCGTTTTTCTAAAGGATGATTGATTAAACTTCGATTATTTCAATCGATAATTAACTTATAACAAATAATACTATTAATAATTGTTGTTTAACACATGGAAAAATTATTAGAAACAATAAATTATGTAAAATAATTAATCACAAATTTTATTTGAGATTCTATGGCTATATTCAGATCCGAGTACCACTTAAGTATCCTTCTATCCTTATTGTTTACTAAATGTAAACAAAAAGATGACATGACACCCAGGGAGCACTTGGGTGGGAATCTGAACACACCCTGTATCGATAGAATTAATTGTCGATTAAATTAATTCGAAATTTAGAGTTGCCTTAAAACTTAAAAAAGCTTTGAAATAATTTGATTAATTATATTTTAAAGAAGTATATTTTAAAGAAGTATATTTAAAAAAGTTAATTTTAAATTAAAAAAACTAATTAAAATTAATTTAAGTGGATTGCGACTTGTACTTATGTTTTCATATCGTTTATAAAGGAATGATGAAGAATCAAGTTACATACGCGCGCAACGAATGCTTATTGCACTTATCCTTATTAATTTGCTTTGGGCGATACACTCATGGTTTTGATGACTAATTTTCTTTGATATTGATTTTACATAATAAAGTAGTCTCAAATTACAAACTTTCTAATTTTCAAAATTATATATTTCTTAGTTAATTAAAATTTTATTAAATTTAAAACTGAAAGTTAATTGAAAAATAAAGTAAAAATTCATTATTAGCCGCTTTTATCTTCTTAAAACTAAAACTCTTTTTTTTTTTAATGTTTGTAATGGAAAAATTTATATATTGATATTTCTAGTATATATATAATAACACAAATGGACTTTATTGTTGTTAAATTTAACCTTTAGACTACCGGGATTTGAGGTATTAAACCATCATTTAAAAGTGGCCTTTGGGGTATGTTAAGTTAGCACCCCAACTATAGTACTCGGGAGTTCTGATTAGAGTTCCCACTTCCTTTTGACGAGACGAAGAGTTCCCTATAGTTAATAACAAGAGTTCCGCTCAATAAACATTTTTTTTACATTTTTTAAAAATGGGGTGCTAACTTTTTATCGAATTTCGAGGTGGAATAGTTCTGAGCGGCTTAATAGCTTCAATTTGCGATTGCCTAGAGTTCCTGATATGTAAAAAAAATTTTCAAAGAATAAAAAAAAATTAAAAATTTTTGAAAAATTAATTTTTAGATGCAATAGTTCTGATGATAATTCCTGCTTCTTTTTGACGATACGAAGAGTTCTCTATAATTTTTAATGACATATGCGCTTAATAATAATTTTTTAATAATTTTTTAAAAATGGAGTGCTAATTTTTTATAGATATACTTATTTAAAAATTGTATGATCTTACAAATTTAACAAATGTCGCTGTATCTTACAAACTGTTGGTCCAATCGCTTTTTCACCTCACAGTTTTCGATAGAACTCGTCGAGAACTATAAGAAACGCTACTCAGAACTACTCGGTACTCTCAAAAAATTTTCCGCCGTGGGACTTGAGAGAATTTTAAGTCAAAATTTTTTGGGAGTACCGAGTAGTTCTGATCGGAGTTCTGGACAGTTCTCGGTGAGTTCTGTCGAAAAGTATCAGGGCTCGAAGCGATTGGACCAATGGTTTCCGAGATATACCTACTCTAAAAATGGTTGATCTTCCGACAAATGTCGCTGTATCTTGCAAACCGTTGGTCCAATCGCTTTTTCATCTTACAGTTTTCGATAGAACTCGTCGAGTACTATAAGAAACGCTACTCAGAACTACTCGGTACTCTCAAAAAAATTTTTCGATGTGGGACTTGAAAGAATTTTAAGTCAAAATTTTTTGGGAGTACCGAGTAGTTCTGATCGGAGTTCTGGACAGTTCTCGGCGAGTTCTGTCGAAAAGTATCAGGGCTCAAAGTGATTGGACCAACGGTTTCCGAGATATACTCTAAAAATTGTTGATCTTCTGACAAATGTCGCTGTATCTTGCAAACCGTTGGTCCAATCGCTTTTTCATCTTACAGTTTTCGATAGAACTCGTCGAGTACTATAAGAAACGCAACTCAGAACTACTCGGTACTCCCAAAAAAATTTTCAAAAATTTATACTATTTTTTTTAAACTTTATTATTCTTCAAAAATGTTTTTTATGTATCAAGAATTCTAGGTATTCACAAAATAGTTCTGTTAAGCTGATCAGAACTATGCGACCTTGACTTTCGTTAAAAAATTAGCACCCAATTTTTAAAAAATTATTAAAAAATGATTATTAAGCGCATATGTCATTAAAAATTATAGAGAACTCTTCGTATCGTCAAAAAGAAGCAAGAATTATCATCAGAACTATTGTATCTAAAAATTAATTTTTCAAAAATTTTTAATTTTTTTTTTATTATTCGAAAATTTTTTTTACATATCAGGAACTCTAGGCAATCGCAAATTGAAGCTATTAAGCCGCTCAGAACTATTTCACCTCGAAATTCAATAAAAAGTTAGCACCCCATTTTTAAAAAATGTAAAAAAAATGTTTATTGAGCGGAACTCTTGTTATTAACTATAGGGAACTCTTCGTCTCGTCAAAAGGAAGTGGGAACTCTAATCAGAACTCCTGAGTACTATAGTTGGGGTGCTAACTTAACATACCCCCAAATTTGTGTCTTGTATCATGTATCAACTATATACAAAGTTCATATCATAGGCCGAGCCGATATATCGGCTTCCCGGCAGCCTTAAGGTTAAACTTGTAAGCTTTATGATATCATAATAGAAAGCGAAAATAAAGATTTAAATGAAGCAACAAAGATTAATATTTGGTTGAAATTTCTGTTTCAGGATGCTAATTTAACATGGTACACGAACGACCCAGATCTAACAGAATGCTTCCAAAAGACGATATTAGTATGGGTACCATGTATATTTTTATGGACGTTTTCAGCGATGGAAGCGTATTACCTTTTAAATAGCAAAAGAAGAAACGTCCCATACACGTGGTTATTTATTTCTAAGCAAGTACTTACAGTAGGATTAATTTTACTTTCCATAGTTGACTTAGGAGTGGCGATACATGAAAGTACTTTTCGTATGGTCTACAGTGTTGATTATTACACACCTATAGTAAAAATTGTTAGCTTTGTAAGTACAATTTATTTTTTATATTAATAGATTTTTAAATATATTTAAATATTTTTTACAATTATTTTTGCATAAATGTTTCATTAATATTCTCATAACTTGTTTTTGCTTTTTTTTATTATAAAATAAAAATGAGATTGAAGATTTTTTATTTATTATAAAAAAGTAGTCATATTCACTAGCCATATAAATTCTCTGTATAATATTTAATTAAATTTGCTAATTATTTTAGATGTTAGCATCGACTTTGATGCAATATAATAGAAAACATGGAATGAGGACGTCAGGTCTTTTATTCCTATTTTGGTTTTTCCTTGCGATATGCGGATGCGTCCAATATAGAAGCTTTGTAAACAAATTTATTAAAGGGGTATGTAAAATTGTTATCATGTTAATAAAAAAAAAGTAATTTAGTGCAGATGCATTTGTAAACTGCATTTTCTGTATCTGACTTTTACAATTTCTTATCACACATATTATCTCGTGTTATCAGCCTTTATGATATTTACAAGGAAGCTGCTGATTGTGTGTTGCGTAATACAATGCGATTCATAAAAAAAATTTATTTTTAGGCAGAGCCAACATATTCACTGGTGTCTTACATGATCTACTATCCAATAGTAGTGATATTGTTTGTACTTAATTTTTTGGTTGATGCAGAGCCTAAATTTTCCGAATATCCTACGGTAATCTTTTTGCTATTGATTGTATAATATATAAGCTACAGAAACATGTAAAATCTTATAGTCAACTGTAAGATCTAGAATTGATGAATAATTTGATAAATAATTTTGAAATATATTTACTCGCAGGTCGAATCGCCATGTCCAGAGCAAAGCTCCTCTTTTCCTTCGAGAATTATTTTCGCGTGGTTTGATTCGTTAGCATGGAAAGGTTTCCGAAAACCGCTCGAAACGTCCGATCTGTGGTCCATGAATCCAGAGGACATGGCTACGGAGATTGTGCCAAAATTTGACAAATATTGGAACAAGAACTTGAGAAAGACAGACGAGTAAGTTTAATCGATCGATTTCTAGTTCAAATCAAGATTTCTTGTAATCAATATGGTTTAGCTAAGTTTCTTTAAAACATTTATTTTAAGAAAAATTATAAGAAAAAAATATAAGAAATTTTATATTAATAATAGGAAGATATAGAATTTATATTTTATATTAATATGGATATAGAGCGTGTGTGTAGATTTCAGAGAAAATATTTATTAAATATACAGTTATTGAAAATTATAATTTGCTGATATGGAAATTTTATTTCAGGAATTTTTTTTTAATCGATTTGTTATAATACATTTTTAGAACGTTACTTTATTATCTTATCTACTATAGCTAATAGTATATATTTACATATGCTTGTATTTTACAAATATATCGTGTATAGATATTAATTAATAGTGTGTAATGTTTTTTGACAAAGTATTTTTTAACACGTTCATACATTTCTTGTGCTAACAAGGCTGATTTGGACGTACTTTAGGTAGGATGTGTTGTATAACATGTCTTAATTAATTTTATCATCCAACTTAATAATAGAAACCTTTATAACAGATATTCTTTATACATATAGAGTAGAAAGTGTAAAAGCGTCATATCGACAAACGTCTGGACAAGTGGACTTTAACAGTAGTCGGAAAAAGAAAATTGCCTCTATTTTACCACCTATCTGCAAAGCTTTCGGAGCAACATTCATGTTTGGTGCATTTTTAAAACTGATTCAAGATATTATGACTTTTATTAGTCCACAAATATTGAAGTAAGTATACACACATCTTAGGTTTTATTTCTAATTTTATTTTATAATTAATGAAGAAAATATATAAAGAATCGACGAATTTTACGAAATTGTTCTCAAAATTTAATTGTTCTTATTTGTCTAAATACTTTTGTTAATGTATCCCTTTTCATATGTTTTAGGCTTCTGATTGGTTTTATCGAAGGAGATGAGCCAATGTGGAAAGGATACTTGTATTCCATCCTACTTTTACTTACGGCAATGCTTCAGACGCTAGTACTGTCCCAATATTTTCACCGTATGTTCTTGGTCGGCCTGCGCATACGAACCGCGTTGATCGCGGCAATCTATCGTAAAGCATTGAGAATGTCGAACGCAGCGAGGAAAGAGACGACACTTGGCGAGATAGTGAATTTGATGTCTGTAGACGCTCAAAGATTTATGGATCTAACTGCATACGTAAACATGATCTGGTCGGCACCCCTGCAAATAGTTCTAGCTTTATATTTTCTCTGGAACATACTGGGGCCGGCTGTACTCGCTGGTTTAGCAGTTATGATCATTCTTATTCCTGTGAACGCATTAATTGCCAACAAAGTGAAGACGTTACAAATCAGACAGATGAAGAGCAAGGACGAGAGGGTAAAGTTAATGAACGAAGTACTTAACGGTATCAAAGTGTTGAAGCTCTATGCGTGGGAACCTTCGTTCGAGCAGCAGATACTTAAAATCAGAGTCAAAGAAATTCAAGTATTAAAAGAAGCAGCATATTTGAACGCTGGTACGAGCTTTATATGGTCGTGCGCGCCCTTTTTGGTACGTTTTTTGGTACAATGAATTATATACAATATAAACACACACACACACACACACAAAAAGCAACTCGCGTCATAATTGAAAACTTTAGAAATATATATCTTATGGAACACACTTGTAAAAAATTTTTTCTTAATTTTCATGTTTTTAATAGTAAAGTTTGTAATTTTTAGTATGACTTTTTTTAAGAGTTTCACACTGTATGAAAAATAATATTTTTAAATATATGCCAAAACATAAACTAGCAATAAATATATATATTTTTTAATTACTTATATTTGAAAATATCTTTTGTATTTTTTTAAATATCTTTTCGCAAATGTGCAGGTATCTTTGGTATCTTTTACAACTTACGTACTTATAGACGAAAAGAACGTCCTAAATAGTACAATTGCCTTCGTTTCACTCAGTTTGTTCAACATCCTAAGATTTCCACTGTCTATGCTGCCTATGATGATTACTAATATAGTTCAAGTAAGTTTTAATGTATATATGTAATTAAACTGTTTTTTTATTCATTTTTATTCATATTTTGTATTTGATAATAATTCTGTGTACAGGCTTACGTCTCTGTAAAACGTATTAATAAATTTATGAACATGGAAGAACTAGATCCTAACAATGTACAGCATGATCCATCGGAACGTGAGTGTAAAATTTTCTCTTTTAAAGTAATATGTTTAATACGTACGATGTACATAATGTGTTTCCACATTTTAGCGCACGCGTTAGTAATTGAGAACGGTACCTTTTGTTGGGATAATGAAGAAATTGAGAGACCAATACTACGAAATATCAATTTCCATGTAGAACAAGGTCAATTAGTAGCAATAGTTGGTACAGTGGGATCAGGCAAGAGTTCTCTTCTATCCGCTTTGCTTGGCGAGATGGATAAAATAAGCGGAAAAGTAAATACAAAAGTGAGTATTCTTTTCGAATGAGAAATACAAAGTATAGAAATTAAACTTATATTTTTTTATAACAAGCAATAAAATTGAGCAAAAAAAAAGCTCTCACATGTTACATTTATATGAGTCTCGAGACAGAATCTTCTCGAAAGAGAATTAAGAATAATTAATAATGTAGCTTAATAATGTACTTAATTTTGATTGTTAAATTTTATTATATGCTTTTGTTATGCGTCTAAAAATATAAACTAAGACTATAATTCTTAATTCAATGATGAACCTAAAGAGTTATTTTTTTTATTTTTACACATTTCTTAGATTGAGTAGAGATTGGGATTTGAAGATTAATATTAAATATTTTTTTTAGGGGTCAATTGCATATGTCTCGCAGCAAGCGTGGATACAAAACGCTACGTTGCAGGACAATGTTCTGTTCGGAAAGGCCTTGAACAAATCAGTGTATAATAGTGTGATTGAAGCGTGTGCATTGACTCCGGACTTTAAGATGCTGCCCGCAGGAGATCAAACAGAGATCGGGGAGAAAGGCATAAATTTGTCCGGCGGTCAAAAGCAAAGAGTAGCCTTAGCTAGAGCTGTATATAACGATTCCGAAAACTATTTCTTAGACGATCCTCTGAGCGCGGTGGATTCGCACGTAGGAAAACACATTTTTGAGAAAGTGTTAGGTCCGAACGGCCTGTTGAAGAATAAAACTAGAGTACTCGTTACTCATAGTATCACGTACCTGCCGGAGGTTGACAACATTATTGTTCTTAAAGACGGTGAAATAACGGAGAGTGGAACCTACAAACAATTGCTAGAGAAAAAGGGTGCTTTCGCCGAATTCTTAGTTCAACACTTACAAGAAGGTATCTATTAATGTAATTTAATTCTTGTCACATATTTTATACTTATTATAAAATTTGTTGTTACATTTTTCCTGGATTTAAGTTGGAAATCGTAAGTCCGCGAAAAAGTAATTACAATTCCTTTTCCTACTTTGTATGCTTGCATAAGAAATACTCCCTTGTCATTAGAGTTAAGTTAGGATAACATTTTTAATTTTTAGTTTTTAATAATTCTCTTTTTAGTTTAATTCCAATAACTTATTAATTCTCGCCTGAATTTTCATTTTGTGCTATCTGTTTCTAGTTCAATTTCAATAACTTATAATATTAATTCTAGACTGAATTTTCATTTTGTGCTATATAATTAAGAATATATGCATGTGCGAGTTTTCTTGAATTTCTTCCTATTTTTATAACATTGATAGCTTTTGTGAATGACAAATCATTATTTTAAAATCATGACAAATTTGGAACAGTGCACGTTGATGACGGTTCTGAAGCAGATTTGCGTGAAATTAAACAGCAGCTTGAATCAACAATGGGAGCGGACGAGTTGCAACAAAAGTTAACTCGAGTACGGTCTAGAATATCTGAGAGTCTAAGTGAATCCGGTTCTGTGACTGATAGAAAATCACTCAACGGTTCTCTAACAAGGTATAATCTCATAAATATGATATTTAACGGTGATGTAAGTGTGCTTGCTACTAACTTGAAATAATATACGTGAACAAATAGGCAATACTCGACAGAAAGTCAACAGTCAGCGAATTACATGCATAGCAATAGTGTTAGTGTATCAAAAGAGAAAGATGCACCGAAGCCTAACAACGTCGGGGAGAAACTGACAGAAATCGAAAAGACCGAAACTGGAAGTGTAAGTTGCACGTGATATCACTGTTAATTTTCTTAATTTTAAAAATACTACGTCTTTATAATTCGCTTTTTATGACAGAAAGTTTGAAGTGCTTTTATTCTCAAGTATCTTGTTATTCTTTTGCAAGGTAAAATGGAAAGTGTACTCTCACTACTTAAAATCCATTGGATGGTTCCTATCGATATCGACAATCGTGATGAACGCGGTCTTTCAATCGTTCAGCATCGGCTCGAGCGTTTGGCTCAGTATATGGTCGAACGATAATCAGACTGTTGGGAACAACACGTTTGATACGGCAAAGCGAGATATGTATCTCGGGGTTTACGGTGCGCTCGGTTTTGGTCAAGGTACGTTTCTGTTAATTCTTGTAATACATTGGCCCGTTGTCAGATAGATTCAATCAGTATTGTGTAAAATTTCGCGTTTACGATGGACGATCAGGTAAGCTTATTCCTGTCGCTGCTACGTGTACTTGTATAAATATACATATCATTTTTCTACCGCAAAAGGCAATTACTTCATTTAATATAACGTTAACAGGCAATGGCACTTAATTTTGCTCGTCATAGCATATCGTAATTTGAAAGGCATGTTCCCTCACAGATTACACATCATTGGGGTATAATTAATCTTAATGTAATTCTTTTATATTTAAAACTCGATATTGAGCCGAGTTAGTAATAATTGAAAAATCATGAATAACTACTAATGTAGTGACTTTTTCGTTCCAATAACGTTATGAGTTTATGTCTGCAAATACACATTATATATATACGTATTAATTCTAAAATAAACCAAAAAATTTCTTTTAAAAAAATCAAACTGAGTGTGGTTTGCTGTGTCTACAATAATACTAACGTTACTAATTAAACGCTCAAAAACAATTAGAGATTGAAACTTTTTCGTAGCCATATGTTTTTGATTGCAAGTGTCGTAGTAATCATTTTTTACAAATTATCGCTTTTTTAGTATTGCATGAAACATTTTTCTGTGCCTTTTGTTCAGTACACAATTTGCATTTTTTATTAAATAATTTATTAACCTTTATTATAATTATCCTTTTTACAAGCGAAAATTTAGTGATTATAGATAAAAGTAATAGATGGAAGAAATAATATATATTTATATAAAATATTATAATGAATGTTATGTGTGTTTGTGTATAATTCTCCTGTAATCTTTTTGTGATCTTGTGATCTTTTGTGATCATGGTGTGATCCATTAAAAATTTATCTGGTGTTGTTTACTAACTCTATTCAACTAATATCTGTCAGATGAATTATAAATCACATGACATCTATTATTTTATTGTTTATTTAAAGTTTATTATAAAAAACAAAAATATTTTTTTAATATAATAACACGCTTTTACGTTGAATAGTGAGCATGAAGTACAGGAACAAAAGGAAGCTTTTAAGCACTAATATATCTTAAAATAATATAAAAAAGCGGAAAATCAGTCTACTATATTGATTAATCGATGATTTAAATTACACATCTACTAATATGTCTAGACATTTTTAATTCAAATCACTTTAAAAAATAAGAAAAATCGTATACTAAATGAATGTAAAAATTAACTAATGTAAAAATCATTTAACTAAATTTGTGATAACTTAAAATTTCGGAAAATGTTGTGCTGATTTTCTGATCAAATAATTACGTGTAAATTGAAATGGATATTGAATCGTAGTAATAACACATGTTAATTTAGAGGAATTTAAACAAGCTTTAGACGAAGATTCGAAACGTTCCTCATTTATCAATCATTATGTTTATTTCTTTAATTGCCTGAATGCTTGAATTTTTATTACATTTACTACAAACACATTGACACGCTTAGCATTAAACGTGATCGAATTCCTTCCTCAGATTACGTAATCAATGTGCGAAGTATAATAATGATAATTAACATAGTTAACGAAATTTAATTTGAGAATGAAACGATATTGATTTAATATCTCAACGCTGATGCATAAATAGAATCGTAATCACATTTAATGTTAAATATACGATGGTAATGCGAGCCGTAGTATCTCGCATTTTCGATTTTTCTCTTTCTTGAATTACAACAGTCTAATTAGTTTTGTTTTCTCTGTTTTGTTATTAACTTATTGTTACCGTTAATGACTAACGCCTAACTACGTTATGTTACATGCCTAAATAAACTGACAAAGACACATTGCTTTTGTTATTTTCTGTGTAAAGGCAATTTTTTCGTGACAAAATTTAACAGTGTAATTACATTAGTAAGTCAATTTGAACGTTAACAGAACAAAGTGATATAAAGCACACATTTTTTTCATAGAACTGCGAGCGAGTAGTGTCGGAAAAAGAATTTTTTTGTCCAACAAGATTATTTATTTACTTTAAATTAAATTTCAGCCACTTTTGTAGTGCTGTCGCAGACAGCGTTGGTTATCGGCTGCCTACGGAGCAGTAAACTGCTGCATTCCGAGTTATTATTCACCATGCTACGATCACCTTTAGGATTCTTTGACACTACGCCGTCCGGCAGAATATTAAACCGTTTTGGGAAGGATATTGATACAATAGACAACATTTTACCTCCAAGTATTAGGGCTTGGTTGTTTTGTCTAGCATCGGTATGCGAGAGTTTTAGTTTTAATCTCTGTATATCACTACACGAATCAATGTTTAGCAGTACCACTGGTCCACCAATCGGTACAAATATGATTTATTATGTAATAATGAGAGCTTTCTGATTTTTTCTATTCTTCATTAATATTCATTAATGATCAGTAGACAACTATCAGAAGCATACGTTATTAAACCAATATTTTTGCATGCTTGGTGAGACACTGTATGTCTCATTTTTCACAGTACAATCATACAAGTATCACGTTTATCACTTTTCTTATATTACCGCGCTCCCATTTTTCTCTTCGCATATTTATTATTATTTGTACTTACATTTAGTGCATTTTTAATTATGTGCACCTCAATTTATGTGTGACTGCAGTGAGGAACTTGCATATGAACATTTAGATGAAATCAGGTGATGAGCAACTAATGAAAATGAACATTGCCGATCGTAGAGCCTTTAAATAATTCACTTAAAAGCTCGGTATATCCGATAATTCGCGGACGCAAAAATGTCTATTATGTAAAAACTGTGTAATTTTTTTAATCCGATGAATCAAAGTTGATTACCGATCGTTGTAGGCGTGACAGTATTCGCAATGACGATATTCCTGGCTAAAGGGACGGTAATCGCTTCTAAGCGTATCTTCGAGGGTACGCTGCAACACGTTCTTCACAACCCAATGTCATTCTTTGACAGAACTCCGACTGGCCGAATTCTTAGTCGGCTTGGTAAAGATATTGATATTATTGACAATATCCTACCGGTTTATCTGCGTTCTTGGATCAATTGCCTCCTTTCGGTATGATATTCTCATATAACTACTGTATAAGTAATGATCTCTGTGACAGTTGATGTGGATTTAATATTACTACATCTCATATTTGTCGAACGATACTTGCTACAGATATCGATGTCCTCACTCCTTTTTTTAAGTATATATTTAAATTTGCTTAGAATTGACATTTTGCATGAAATATTCTTGTTATTTTCTATTGTACTGATAAGTAATTTACGTTCCATCAGTCATTTATATGTATATTAGTTTTTATATTAATTGACATTGATTTTACATTACTTTAGAATTACTAAAAATAATAAATTTACAATTGCACAATAATTATCTCGCATATTTGAATATATAAAGACGTATAAAGTAAAGTATATTTATTTATGACAAACGCAGAGTAAAAAAAATGCGAATTTTTATTAGTAGGAATGCACAATTCTGGCAGAATTCAGATCTGACTGTTTACTGGAAATTTGAATGTAGCATTATTTTAAATAATAAAGCTTGGAATTTTAGAAGAAATGGCGAAATGTAATAACATAGTGCTGGCCTGCCGGCTAAGCGTATATGGGCACGGGTACGCTACTTGATGCGTGTAAGAAGTTCCCGGCAATCAATACAGCATGGTGAATCGACAAGCTTTGAAAGGACTCGAAGGAACATGTGGTAAGAAATATCTACCTCGATGCTGCTTGCCTGACTCGAACAGCATTTGAGCGGCTTACCCGTGCGTTTTGTGCATTCAGCCGGCCAGGTAACAGCCATATTTTGAATGACTACTTTCTTCTTCAGTTTAATTTTTCTATAAATTTATCAAAAGATACGTTTCTGTTAATCCGTTTTTGTTTTTAAATATATGCTATTTAAAACAAAATACTGATGGGACAATAAAAAAAAGATGTACGAAATTGATCAACAAGTTCTTATTCCGGCGATTTATTAGGATTTAACTGAAAATATAAGCAAAGATACATGCAAAATAGTAATAAACGAATCATACCTTTTCTGTGGTGTCAAATAGCTCGCTCAGCAGCTTATTTTTGGGTTTTATTTTAAGTCACGAAAAAGTGACGTGGTTTATGGGAATGCTTGTGCTGGATTTTACATTGTGTGTTATCCAGTCATATTGCATATCATAAAATTCGATGATTACGGTGTATGTCAATTATTTTATCTATTTTAGGAATAAAATGTGGTAGGAGCCCTTTGTTCGTCCTTTTCAGAAAATGTTACGTTGACGATGTTCATTTTCGTTTATGATCAATGTTTAGATTCGACGAGTTGAAAACGCTAAAAAATAACGATTGTCTTAATTTTTCATAAAATTCTTTCATATCGCTCAAGACGGAACTTGGCTTTGTTAAATCATTATCATTCTTACAACTAGAATTGTTCTCCTTTTACATTGTTTTCTTTTTAGTTACTGTCTTTGTATTGTTATAAATTTTTTTTGTTCAAAAATATTAATTTGAACTTACTTCATGACTGTCGTCATCATAATTTATACAATTATTGTATATAAATCATAGTGCAACTATAGTGTAGTAATTATTCAGGGAATGGACACAATTATACCAGTAATATTCAGTGTACAGAAATGGTCTTGCTTGTGCTTGATAACGCTTTTTGTTCTATACTTGCTTGTATAACATCCACCTAATTACGATTCTGCCTTCTAGGAAGTGTGATTTATTTGTATTTCCTGTTGCTATATATATCCTGTCTGGTATGCCACACAGCAAACTTCACATCTTTGCATAACATAAAATCAGAGCGGTAGTTTAAGTTCGCGATATTTTCGCCAAATACATTTGATCGAGCAGCATTACGATAGAAAAGAAAAAAATTAATTAAATTGTTTACAGATATTTTTTGGCATTTCGGTAAATGTATCGCGTTGAAAAGAGAAACAAATCATGTTTTAGTCTAATTAAATCTAATGTTAAAAACTATGTTTACGTGTAATACGTGTCTCATTTAACATACAACGCATTGTTTGCTTATAAGTTTTTGTTAACTTTACTCATTATTTTGTTTCTTTTTTTACAAATCGCGCAAATTGTACCAGATGCGGTTACAATGAAAGTTATCCATGTCTGATGTTGTAGCGGTGGCGAGCTTTTTCTGCGATTTGGCACCGCAGCTGGGCTGTTGGTTGGCTGCTCGCCAGATGCACATAGTGATGCTGCGTGCTGTGATGCGTGCCCCATTGACCTTCTTTGATACGACTCCTATTGGTCGTATTATCTCCAGGTTTGCTAAAGACGTGGACGTTCTGGATACATCTCTTCCCCCACAAATTTCTGATACCATCTATTGCTTGTTTGAGGTAATTTCTTTCGTAGCGTGCTAAGAGAGAATACCCGTTGGGACTCTCTTATTGCTTTTCCTTTATCTTCTCGACCTCGCAGTTTGAGTTCCACATATATATACCATCACTTTCCACCGGAGAACTTTGATTAAACTGCGATTAGATAGATATTATTGTCATCCTTGGGTATAATTTGTATTTATTAAGAGGTGCCTGAATTATGTATAGGTGGTATATTATTATACTTTGGATACTGTGGATGGGTATGATTCCCGTCTGTAGTTTTGCAAACTGGTTTTAAGACTATATTTGGAACATAAATATATAGAGTCCGCCACCGAGTATAATTGTGTCCGTTCTCGTAAAATGACTGTACTCTATGAATTATTTTATTTGTATACCAAAATAAAGGATATTTTAGCAATATGAGGTTTGATCAAGAAAAACTCAAATATACATTGACGCTAATGCTTATTATATGTATTTGTCTAATGTATATGTGATAATCAGGGGGAATGGAAAGTTACTTTTTAAAAGTAACAAGTTACAGTTACCGTTACTCGAAAGGTAACTTTTCGTTACTTTTCCGTTATTTTTTACAAATTAATCTGAAAATACACTTTTGCAAATATACTTTTGTTTAAACGTTAATAAAAGCAATATATATATAGCATATATAATATTGAGACACTATGTATAATTTTATTTTTTAGTTTTTTTAACACAATTTCGTAATTCTACAACCTCTAAAATATGCAGCAAATTGAGATATACATATGTTCGATGTATCACATAAAAGATAGAAGTGCAAAATAATTCCTGAAATAATGGTACTGTATATATTTCTCAGCTGTCAAAAATTACTTCAGAATCGCTACAGCAGTTGACAGCTGAAATATTTCAGGATTTTTTTTTATACTTTGTAGAAAACCAGAAGATTACATAGGATTGCATAGGACTATTTGAATCACAATATATGTATATATAAATATATATATATATATATAAGTTAGAAATTAAAAGGAAAATTAAGAAATACACATAATCTCTTTATTATAATACAGCTATATTTTTACTTAATCTATACTTTTAGATGTAAATCAAATATTTTGATAGAAAGAAAATTATAACGCTATAATTAAAATATATAACAGAAGTTTTGCAAAAAGGGGTGTTTTCCAATTGCTCAACATAAATGTACGCAGAAATTTATAGAGTAAAGCTTTTTACACAGCTCAATTAGAACAAAATGTATACGATGTTTAGATTAAGTTAAACTAAATGCTTGTTCGCCTGTATTAAATAAACACATTTAATGTCCTACAACCACATTTATAGCTGTCGTAATTAATAACATGTAATTGTTGTATAACAGAATAACGTGTCCAATGCAAAAGTAACTGTAAATTTCGTTATCGTTATCCAAAAAATGTAACTACATTACCGTTACAGTTACCAGAAAGAAAGTAACGCAGTTACCAGTAAAGTTACCAAAAAAGTATAATAACTTGTAACTGTAACTTCGTTACAAGTAACGAGTTACTTCCATTCCCTGGGTTATAATCATATTCATGGTACATGTTGGTGGGCCTATGAAACGACCAGTGCTAGCTTTTTTTGTTAAACAACTGCTGTCCGGAAAAGATATGAGAGCGCTTCATTCAACAGAATTTTTGCATGAGATATTATCAGTTTCTTTTTTATTTGTAACCCTTGTGAAGCTGATTTGTTCGATCAATTTTCCGTTTATTATTTATATACATTTTTTTTATCACGCAGATGATTCTTCTTGCTCTGACTAATTTATATTTGCATACAATACTAATATTTTTCTATCTTGTGAGATTAATAATGAAGCAGAATATTTTTCAGTATTATTAATAGCTATATGCATTGCAGGTAATAGCCACTCTCTTTGTTATAAGCTACAGTACACCTATATTTGTCGTGGTGATACTGCCAATAGGCGCGATTTATTATTTTATTCAACGTTTTTACGTTGCAACATCGCGTCAATTAAAACGATTAGAATCCGTGTCGAGATCTCCTATATATTCGCATTTTAGTGAATCGGTGACTGGTACGTATTTAAAACTGTGCTGTATGTGCTGTAATATTTTATTTATTGACAAAAATTGACATTTCTAAAAATAATCTATTATTTATATATAGGTGCGCAAATAATTAGAGCGTATGGCGTGCAAGAACAATTTATCCATGAATCTGAAAATAGAGTAGATTTTAATCAAGTATGCTATTTTCCTAGCATTATTGCAAATAGGTAAATATTGGTATGACGCAATTGCAATTTTTTTTATGAATAATTATTAACTGAAACGCGTATGTTGCAGATGGTTGGCCGTAAGATTGGAGATGGTTGGAAACTTAATTATATTCTTCGCAGCTTTGTTCGCTGTTTTAGGTAGAGATACCATGAGTTCAGGTCTCGTTGGTCTATCGGTCAGCTATGCCTTACAAGTAAGATATATTTTTTGTAAAATAGACATTTTAGCGTTATATACAATGTGATATTTTCTACCACGTTAAATAGAATGTTTCTGTGATAAAGCTAAGTAAAAGTATCAAATGTGCTTAAAGTATTTGTTACATGTAGGTGATATTTTATATTTTTATTTGATACTTTAAGAAAGAACTGTATGTATTTCATGTATGAGAATTCACGTTATGTTTGCTATAGATCACTCAGACTTTAAATTGGTTGGTGCGCATGACGTCCGATGTCGAGACTAATATCGTCGCAGTTGAGAGAATAAAGGAGTATAGTGAGACCGCGCAAGAAGCACCGTGGAAGAATACTGAATTTACGCCTTCGAAAGAGTGGCCTAAGCACGGTCGCGTTGACTTTAAGGACTTCAAAGTTCGCTATAGGGAGGGATTGGATCTCGTGCTAAACGGATTGACATTCAGCGTTCTCGGCGGCGAGAAGATCGGCATAGTAGGCAGAACCGGTGCCGGAAAGTCGTCCATGACATTGGCACTTTTCAGAATAATTGAGGCGGCACAGGGGAAGATTTTTATCGATGATATTGATATTTCTAAGCTGGGCCTTCACGATCTGCGTTCGAGATTGACCATCATTCCTCAGGATCCTGTATTGTTTTCCGGAACACTAAGAATGAATTTGGATCCTTTCGATTGCTACAACGACGAGGAAGTTTGGAAAGCGTTGGAGCACGCTCATCTGAAATCATTTGTAGAAAGTATGAATGGTCTTTATGATCTTCCGTTAGAAAGTCTCGTGTGTTTGAAGAGAAGAGGAGTATAATCTATTTATTATTATCTTTCAGACTTGCCAAACGGTCTTTTACACGAGGTTACTGAAGGCGGAGAGAATTTAAGCGTAGGACAACGACAATTGATCTGTTTAGCAAGAGCATTACTTAGGAAAACAAAAGTTCTTATATTGGACGAGGCAACAGCCGCAGTTGATTTAGAAACGGACGATTTAATTCAGACTACCATTCGTCAAGAATTTAAGAATTGTACAGTTCTCACAATAGCCCACAGGCTCAATACTATTTTAGATTCTGACAGGTATATTTCAATTTATTTTAACATTGCATTTCGTGAGCATTTTGATATGTACTACAATTAGTATTTTATTTGGAGCACGATATTTTATAATATCTGTATTTATACCATAAAAATTTATTTTTACAAGGTAATTACATAACATTTAAATTTTCATTTAATTTCTTCTCCAATTGTTTTAAGTATTTATTTTCTAAACTATTTTCTATTTTCAGCTTATTCTCAAACATTAATAATGTTTCAGGGTAATTGTATTGGACAAAGGTCTGATCGTCGAATATGATTCTCCGGAAGTGCTTCTTAGCAATCCATCTAGCTCTTTCTACAGTATGGCTAAGGACGCAGGTCTAGCTGCTTAAAAAAAAAAAATGACTTCATATCACAAATCATTTTTTTTAGCGGCTGTACATTATTCGTAAGCCAATGTCGAAGTAAACGACACAAAGAAAGCCATAGAACAAAAAAAAAACGCATAGCCTCAGCATAGATTAATTTGTATAGTGAAACATTTCTACGCAAAAAAAGCGAGAACGTTTAATGTAACCGACGGTGCAAAAACTCTTGTCTCAGCATTGTTGTTGCCAGATTTTATCCAATGACTTTCCAATTGTACCGTCGATTACCGTATTTCATATATTCTAGAATAAGTTTTGTAGTGAGGTCTTTCATCACGAAGCAAGCAATGCGACACAGTTTTAAACTAGCGTCGATATCCAATATCTAACTTTAACTGGGTAATCGGGTGGATTCCTATCTGATCAATATGTTGTAATAAATAAATTATTTTTTTCGATACACTTTATATTATATTCCTCTAAAGATTTATCTTTATAATTTTATAATAAAATTAACGCACTGACAATTTATTACATTTCTAGAGTATTAATATTTGATTAACATATTAAGGGTCGACATGAGTGACGAGCCAATTTATTGTATACACTTCATTTGCGATGTATAAATACATATTTGCATTATATCATATATTGTAGCATAGAAGAAATATTTTGCTATAAAACTCTTTTTACTTATACATATATTTTACGAAGCCTGATAGAAGTAAATATTCCCAAACAACATAAAGTCTAAAATTATGACGTAAGACGTCTTTAAATCGTCTTTTAGACTCAAAAACCATCTTGTGATCCGATTTTAGACATTTTGTTGTGTAAGTTGTCATGAAATATTTCAACTTCTTTTTTTTATGGAGCTACGAAGACACGTATAAACTTATAAAGCCGCATTTTATTTGGTTTGTAAGACATAGATAAAATTGTATGCACCTTGATTACACTTGTAGCATACATTGAGTGAGATATCAAACAAATTTTTCTTTTACTCTTTTTTCCAAGAAAAACGCTCTGTACGAATTTTCAGGGGACTTTTTTGAATATCGCAATTATATTGCGATTTTCTCGGTATTTTTAGCCGATATTTTAGCTAATATTTTTAAAGAAATTTGTTTCTGACAAAGAACTTCAAGTTATTCTTGTTGACCCTTAAATTGTACCAATATTATTATATTTAATATTGGTATAATATATTATGTATGAAATCCTTATAGTGTATCGAAATTACTGTAACAACGTTGAATAATATTTCTGAGTAAATATAATCTTAATTAGAATAATACTTACAAATCAAAGTTGACTAAGAATGTTTCCAAAATTTCGGCCAAGCGATAGGGATCTTTGCACCCGACAACTTTTAAATTAAATTATACCCTCTCGAATAGTTTCAATTAAGTAAAGACTTTCTTGTAAAGTAAGATTATCAACAAACATGTGTACAGTGATTGATAAAAGTGCGTATTCATTTAGATTAAAAAAGAAGAGGTTCCAAGTAATTATCAATTTAGACAAATGAGATCTAAAATACAGATTCTCATCATTATTGCTTTAATAACATTTGAGATGTGTTTTTCTTTAAATTTTTTATATAAATTTTTTTCTATGAACTATATCGTTCAAAAAAAGTGCATTTTTATTTTCACACTTTCCTTTAATATGTATATGACAATCAGTCGCGCAATAATATTTATTTTCACGTTGTTAAATCACACACAATGTTAATAGATCGAATAAAATATATTTTAATCTGACATTTGCTGCATACTTACCATATTATAAAGAAATTAATTTTAATCCGAAGTTCAGTAACGAAAAATTTTATTTTTATAAATCACTTGTTGAAGCGAATAACGGTATAGTAATGGCAGTTTCAATTTAGTATACATTTTGTATGCGGCAAAAGTATTTAGAAAATATGCAACATCACATTTTACTGTATATATAGGTACTCTATCTCTTTATAAAGTTTTATGTATTACCCAAAGTATAATTAAAAGTGACATCTGTGCCTATTTTACAAACAGCAGAAAAATCGCATTTATTAAGAATTACATAAATTTTTAAAACTAACTCGCGTATTTTGTTTCTTTTTAAATGATTTAATCGCGTTCGTAGGTAAATCATACTTCAGTCAGTGTTCTCTTAAACTATTTACTATTTTGTTTAGCGATCATTTATGTATTAGATTTGTATAGGTATTTTAATTTCCTTAATATCGTATAGCACTAAAATAGTCATTAAATACTTTCGAGAGTATTAGTAATAATTAAACTTGCCTTGTATTCGTCGTTTTATTTGTAAAAATAAGGCTGCTGAAATGAGATAATTATAGATTAAAGATTATTTTACAATCACCTAGTGCATTAAAGTTCCATCATTTGGAAATAATTTAATATTCATGAAAGAAAGATACACAATTCGTATGGCTCTTGAAAAAAGCTACAACTAAATTTACAATGAAAGGAAAGTGATGTTTCTTTAATGACAAGCGTATTCGAGATAAATATAAAAGCCAAATACTAAATAAACCAAGTTTCATCAACACAGTAACTCGACGCAATTTATATAATCTACTTGGGTCTTCTTTCGTAAAACTACAAGACTCGTAGACCTGGTGTAATTATCAGATTACGACTAGAAAATACTTTGGTAATGTGCTATAAATTTATAGCGAGGAAACGAGATATTTTTTTAAGTTATATAATTTAAATTTACACATAAGAAAAAGCTTCGTCGATTAAATTTTGTCACGCAGTGATTCATATTATCATTTCATTAAAAATTTTTTTCTAATATTTCTTTAATCCTGCGTTGATGTGTTTGTATGAAAAATTTTCATTATCGATACTGCTTGTAATGTATTTCCAGTCTATTTCTTGTGCAAAGTTAGAAATCCATAGAATTGTCTTGCCATTTGTAAAGCTTGGATATTAAATATGTAATAAGATATTTTAATTCTTGATTAACTCTTTCGAATCAGCGATGCTATAAATTGTTGTTCAAGAAATTGAAATGAAAATTTACCGGTTTAATATTAAAAAATTGCTGTGTCTTGAAAGAGTTATACAAGATTAATTGTTTTTCACAATTATATATTGCGAAAAGAAAACGTGAAATTGTATTCTGACGCTATTATTTCCATTGTCAATAATGTATAGATTAAATAACACATTAAATATTTTTTAACTTTTTAGAAGTTACGCTCACGCCTTCAGTTGAATTATCTCTAGTTTTAGTACAAGAGCGTCGTTGAACCGAATTTTTCAAGCACAAATAGCGATGAGATTTGAATTTTACGTTTCTTTTTTTTATTATAGCTTTCTTCTTAATTGTATTTATTCGGTATTTAAGGTATATTTATTTAATTTTCATAATATTGATATTATATAGATATTTAAAATAGAAAAGAGAGATATGTCACAATGGTATCTTTGATACACAGTTTCAATCTGTAAATTATCGTCTTCTCATTCATTATCTTAGATGTAATGCCAAGCATTAAAAAAAAAGCTATAAAAAGATTCTATTATATTATATTAAAGTTGTTGTCGGGTGTGCGAGAGAGCTCATATTGACCAGAACCACATATAAGCGCGGAAGGAAAAGTGCCTTCTTGTAAGAACAAAAAGAAAACAAATAGCAGAAAATCGATGTACTGTTTATAACGTAAATTTAAAATTTGTCAAATCTACATTTAATTTTTTCAGCATACTTCTCTTTATAGACCATTCTAATCTAATTATTGTAAAATTTTGATAGATCTCCAGCTGTTATCGCTACTTAATACGTTGTATACGCATGTAAGTTTACTTTATTTCTCGTCAGTTAGATTTATTATTCGCACAGAGAGATCAGCTGTGTAAATGTAAGAAATAATAACAGAGTTTGACTTGAACAAAGCTTGAAGATATAGATAGATTATTCCTTTTTTTCTTTTCAAACACAATTATTTCACGCGCGTAAAATTTTGTAAGTTTCTGAGCATCGCTTAAGATGTAATGAAAATGACAATTAGGAGGAATTACCTGTATTTATTATAAACGATAACTTTTACAATCTAAACAGCACCGATAACACATTAATACGTGGATCGCCATTTCTCTCTTCCCTCGGATACTTTTAATTTTCCACAATCACAAAACATCTTCGCGATCGTACGAAATAACTTAGCTCGAAGAGCCGCGTTGAAATTTCGCACCGCACACATTTGCATGGCGTGCGGTGATGCTCAGAAATTACGCTAATCTCATTTGGAAAATGAGTACTTACATTATGGCAATATGTATTGTAATAAATGTATATTGTCCAAAATATTAGACAGTAAGTCAACGGTAGATAATTATACGACTCTACTCTAACGAAAATATAAAATATAACATTAAATGTAATTTGTAATATCAACGTCATGGCATTAGTGAACACAATCTTTCCTCCTCCTATTATACAAGATTCTGAATGTTCGAATACTAAAAAAAGGAGAGAATCACTAATGCACGTTTCCCTTTATGTTATTCCGTAAAATGTCGCGACACGAGTGAAGAGGATTTAAATTTATCATTTAGAAGAAAAGGTACACATGTGATATATGATAATTAAATCAATTTTATTTCGTAGCAACATCTCGACCCGATAAATGAATACTAACATCGTCTGAAATCGTTTATGCTAATTGGGTTTTCCCTTTTTTATTCAACATTTGGCTAAACATTGAATCGGCAGAACGTTTCTTTCATGTTTTCGTGGCAAGTGTCTATTTTGCAATTGAACATTTACATGAATGATAACAGTGTTGAGCATACTACCTACATTTATAGCTTATGTTAGAGGATCGCGAGATACATCTCAGGAAGAGATATTATCTCTGCTATTTTTGTATATACTGTTCGTGTTTTACGAAGTCTGTTCTTTTTAGCGGAATGATTGTATCTTTCTTCTTTTTCTTTTCACATTGGAGAGAAAAAGAGGGAAGATGAATTGTGCAAGAAATTCAGCAAAAAAGAATAGACCTACAATTTTTATCCCTTTGAATATCTCTGTGCGTATTCTAAATTTGGATAAAAGATAGATTTGCGTCTATCTTCACTTTTTACTTCGTCATACCTCGCAGTATGCTCGCCAGAGCACGTGGATTTGAAAATAGAATATACATGTACACACACGATTATGCGGAAATTTGTATAAATAAATGTCAATGTGTGTAATTATATTCTTTTAGTATTGGACATTTTATTAATTCAGGGACAACGTATGATATAACGTACTTGATGCTAAATCTATGCACACCAAGTATTATTCGTTCTTCTTCGCCGATCCGTCCTTCGGACGGTCCTTGATAGCTACCTGTTTCTTGTTCTCTATTACTTGCGCCTCCATCTCGCCGGAAAAGCCAAACTCGTTCACTCGAGTATGATCGGTCTTGTATATCCATCTTTGGTACAAAAA